CCTCGTTAGTGTGTACCTGCTTTAAGCGTACTAACGGTTAAAACGTAGTTGCAACGAAGCCCCAACACTCTCTCATAGAGAATAGACCATTCGCGGACCACTTAAGCCGAAGTGCTCAGCCTATGCCTAAGGGTTAGCGCGTACTAACTGCGTACAGCGATAACATTTTGCACGACATAATTTTACTGCTCCGCTTAACTTTACATACACCACAATGTGCCGTGAATGGTTTTCCATCATGTGGATAAGTGCAGAGATTAGCCCACAAGTTATTTCGACTTCCGCGCGATTGCGGCGATGACATTGCGAGAAACCATTAGGGAAAAAACAAAGGCAAGGTGGCGACTACCGACAAACTTGCAGGTATGACTTATTGCCAGAGAAAGGCCTTATCACAGTACCTGAACGTGCTAGGCCGCCGATCGCTGCCGCTTCGTTTTGTGGGACCCTGTTCAAGCGCGCACTGCTTTACAGAAATGCAAGCAGCTTGCTGTCGCAGAGTTGAGCATAGCGAATCGCGAGCACTGAGAAACCTTGCTGCATTATGCCAACGCGCGCACAGTACAGCTAGCGTAGCGCTGTTGTTACCATGCTGCACGCTTCAGTTTAGTGACAGCCTAAATGCGCCTCCATCTGCTGCCAGGACTGTTAGAGCATCGTGGAAAGCACATTGCTTGCTGAAAGCTCTTCGTCGCGTCGTTAACCCGTCAGGCTACTAGCTAAATCTGTGCATCACCTGAAGCGGAGAGGGTGTACTCTACAGCAAGCGGATCAGCAGTCGTGGTGTGCGCAAAGTAAGCGAAGCGCTGCATGCAACTTGCCACGCAAAAAACAAGGTTTGGCTCTCTGTGACTGCACCGCGTTTTAAAAAATAAAACTGCGTCAGTTTTCGCTTAGAAGTAGACCGCGGAACAACTATCACAAACAGCCGATTGTGTCCGTTCTGGCACTTTACCACGCTGCGTATCCCGGATCGCGCGGCTGTTTTGAAATGCTTATCGGCGTCGCCACCACGAGTCAGAAACGTTTCTGTACTTCGGCTAAAGAAAAGAAATGGCTTTGCCGTGAGCATTTCAGGCAACATTTCCAGTGGCACTGAATTTCTTCCTTTGTTAGCAGCGATAGCGCATGCCAGGAGATCAAATTTTGTGGCTGATGATTAATGCGTAGTACATTTAGTACGTAGTTACGCCGTCGTCCCCGGCAGGTACGTATGAACGAGGTTTCACTGTATTTTTTTTCCCTATGCCGTTTCTTTCGGCTTTGCTTCAAGCACTTTTGTCGGGACGTGAAGAAAGAATGCAATTGCAGCATGTGACAAATCTTTGCAACTCCGCTCATACTGGACAGATTCGAAAAATTTTTGCGGCGGCTTATTCATAAGGCAATAATCTTACTTAGTGAATACAATCCATGGCAACTTGAAGAACTGTTGCAGGGTCCCTTTAAATAAACATATCCTCGATTTGACTGATCATTTTTTAAGCTTAAAAGCTTGTTTTGCCAGCGTATACACACTATCTGTAATAAATGTTACATATTTTACAGCTTATCACTTCCCTCATGCTGAAAGTCAAATTCTGCTACTTCTCAAAGTTGTTCCAACTTCGTTTGAATGGAAAAAAATAAGGAAAGCTCTTGCATAGAGGCCTTGTTAAAGATATATATATTGTGCAGGCTAGTTCTTTACACAACATATATTCTATTCGAATTCGATTGGAAATTATTCGACCAAAATCACTATTCACTTCGGATTTGTTTCGAACCTAAAAATCACTATTCGCACAAGTTTAGTTTTTAGGTCTTTTTGAGACTTAAAGAAAAGCTGGAACTTTAAATGCAGATTTCTCAATACTGTTTTTTTTGCATAAAAAAAGAAAAGGGAGTTTCAAGAAACGTTGCAGTTCCTCTAGTTTAAGTGTAGTTAACATGCCTTGAAAGTTTCATCCATATACCTTAAAAATCATTTGGGGGAAGGTGGAGTGCTATAAAAACTCCAAAAGCCACTTTCTCTGAAGTGTGTTTCGGGCACTTTGTGTAGCTTATAAAAACTGTAGCGTAGCAGTGACTGCACAAATTTTAATGCTTTCTTTTTTAAATCTTTGATGACTTCTTGTTGGCAGGATGACATCATTCTTTACCTTGCTTAAGGCATAGTTTGTTTTGCATGTGATAATTAGTGTATAAGAAGTTTTGATGCAAACAATGAAGCTGATAGGGACGTTATTTGTGAGAAAATAAAAGGAATAGACAATTTTGGATAATGTCATCCCGTGTAGTGTTCTTCTGAGTAAAGATCGAAACCACTTGAAACTTCCTGGCAGCTTTTGTTACATTGCTTGGCTTTTTACCAGCAGACTATGTCATCAGATTATGTAACAGTGTAATTAGAAAACTCCGAAATACTGCAATGAAACTTCATTTTAGCTATTCCGGACACTCTTAGGTATGACTTCTAAATTGCATTACTCTAGGTCAACACACACAAAAGTGTTTCTCAATTGCCAAGGCGAGGACCGGAGCTGAATTTCTTAATTTCTGGCAGTAGAGCAATGAAATTTGCCATGTTTATTGGAACTGTACAGAATGGCTATTAAGTTTCATAAGGATGCTTCATAAGGATGCTTATGAAAGGATGCTTCATCTTTTCATAAGGATGCTTAAAAAAAACACCGTAAAAACTTTCAGTTGCTCTTACATTTTAGCCATAGGAATGGTTCATGCTATGACAATCCATAAATATTTTTATCTCATTTTTTTTTTATACAAAATATAACATCTATATTTGCGTATTGCATTTGTTATTGTCCTGTCATACTATCATATATTATCATACTGAACAGTAAGAAAATTATTTAGCGATCTTAAATTAAAACGTCGTAGCGCATGAAAATTCATCAAACAATAGTCGTGCAAGTGAGTTTGCCGGATCAAAACATGCTTCTTGAAAAACTAGCACTAAAGTTGCACAGTGCACAGTCACTACAAAAAAATCAAAATGCCCTAATGCTGTAAAATTTAGTGACCTTGCTTTCAAGGACTTCCTTGATGCCCTTCTCTCTTTTTATCTGCCGCATGTGTTTTATTTTTTTCTTTGCTGGTCATTCTTTGCCAGCTTTTTTAAGGGCGAGACTACCAGGTTGCTAGATGAGGCATGCTGTGGCAGTTATGACAGTTTAGTCAGACTGTGTGACACAGGAACTTCTGAGAAGTTTACTTGACGCAAGTTCGGCAGATAAAAATTCGACCCCTCTTCCAAACAAGTTCTCTTTTCAGTCTCGTCCTGATACACATCATTCTTTACCTGGTCATGAAAAACTTGCTGTGATACAAAGCGTGGCTTGAAATGCACTTTAAATTATATCACCACTGAGGGTTTATATTCTCCGCCAAGCGCTTGGCTGCAGCGTCTGGGAAATCGGCACCTGATATGCTGGGCGGCAATGAGCAATATGCCCAGCCGTGGCAACGAAACACCGGCATGCGATGTGCTTGCCCTTGCATTTTAGAGCGCCGACATGCGAATTCGCCATGCTGCTTCGAGCGATCGCTGCGCGACAAGAGTGGCCGTGGTTACTTGCTTCCAGCTGAAGGATCCGCTCCCAAGGCGTAAAATGCAGATTCGCAATTCCGAGGCAGCATCGAACGCCGTACAGCGCGATCTATTGCTTGCAAAGAAAGACATTGCAGCTTGTTCACTTTCGCATGTCCGCTCGACGATGCTTTTGCTTGCAAAGTTAAAATTCGCATTGAACAACGGCACCGCGAGCGGAGTCAGGCCAGTGAGGCCTAACCACAACTCCGAACTGTTAGCTCGATCGCGATGAGCACGGCAGCAGTGCCTCTTTAAATGTGCGCCATGTTGGACCACTAGTACACTGCCTCCGAAGTCTCCCGTCACGAGCTCTGAGATGCCGGCGGGCAGAATGTCTAAGAAAGAGTTCGAGAAAGAGTTCGACGAGTGAACTCGATACAGGTTCGAGGCGCGCTTCGCGATGAATGTGTGTTGCACTATTGTAGTCAGATGACAGAGTTCCTGCAGCATTTGGAAAAGTGTAATTATCATGGATCCACGTAGACAGAACGAGTCTGAACATTAACTTAATTGCCTTATTTCCAACAGCCGTGATTTCGCGACACAGAAGCTGCAGATGACACACACGGAGCGACAATTGGACCAATAGCGTGGCGCACCGGAGCATCATGGCAGCCCCAGCGAATCGGGGGCCTTGAAACGACCTTCAAACATTTGCTTTTTGTGTGCTTGTTTTTGAACGGAGGAGTCGGAGAAATTCCCTTTCTGACGAGAAAGAGAATTCTCTTTCTCGTCATTCTCCATTCTCGAGAATGGAGAAATTCTCTTTCTGACGAGCCCAAAATCGCTGTGCCTGTCCGTGCCGCCACGGAGCAATAACTTTTTTTAAAACTCGTTTTTTGAATTTCCGCAATAACTTTTGCCACCTCTGCGGGCGCAACAATTTTTAAAAGCCCTGCTGTATGGTTTTCAGTGAAGATATTTCAGAATCAGGAAAAGGGCTACGAAACTGAAAATGACTTTTTCAGAAAATTGCTTTTTTTTTTCGCCTCTTTTTGCGATTTGATCCTTGCTTCCCTCCTTAGAGAGTACGACATGACTGCGTTATTAGGTCCCTTCACGTTCTCATTTGTTAGTCATGATTTGCACCTCAGTGGACACCTCAAGTGTCCAGTTGAACAAGGAACATTTGTGCACGATGAGCTATTGTGAACTCTGCCAAGGTGCCTGCTACAATTATAGTTAATAAATACCCCCCCCCCCCCAACCCCGCACCCCCTATAAAAACCTCCTTGAAGGCCGGCTTCAATGTAGAACCTGAAGCACACTGCTAGTAAACGCACACGTCTTTGTGGTTGCCACTGAACCCGTCAATTTCACCAAACTTAGGGTAGAAAATGAATGCTTAGGCACAAGATGGCACAGGAAATCACTGCATCTTGCATGTAAATTCTCAAGCTCGCACCTCGTAATCGGAGCCATCGTCTGGCAGTGATATCTCATCCGACTTGTGAGAGCAGGGGCGCCGAGGTCTCATGCGCATGGTGTAAACCATGTCTCCATCAAAGGTGAAACGCAGTGACCGGAGCAGGAAAGCTCTGCAGGCCACCCCCTCGCGCAACCGTCCGCTGGGCAGGCTCAGGAAGTTCATCACCTCGCTCGCCAGCAGTTTGTCGTGAATTGATAGTGGGCCCTTGCTCTCAATCAAGTCCTCGAACAGCCTGCGTTCCAGAGATATCGCCAAACCTCGTTATGATAAAGCATAAGGGTGAATTGTAATTACTTTGTTACAACCGTTAGCTTGTTGTTATAACCATTAGTTTGTTATTATAACCATATACATTTCTACCGACAATTAGCCAGATAAAGAGAATGTGCTCACCACCTAACATCAAAGCACCTTGCCGCGCAGAAAAAAAAAAAACTGCCGTCGGAAGGCAGAAAACTAGCGAAATAATAAAGAACGATGCACTTTATTTTCACAACATTCAGCACACCTAGCTGGCAGATCACTTAAAAAAAATAGTCCTTATTAGACATTACCGGAGTCTTCTTAAAGCGGATGACTGCTTTTTTCAGCTGCAGCCGCTATTTCGAGCTCGTCCTTGCCGTCATTGTGAGCACCAAAGAAACTGCACAACAAGCTCCTAGGTGTTTACACATTCGTCGCTGCTGTCAATATGCACCCCCATCACAATTTCTGCATCTGAAAACGCTTTGGTTGTCACCGTGTAGGCATTGGCACCGTCCTATGTGCAGAAAGTGCGCACAACGCCACCGAAAAGGAGAGCTTCCCACGACGTTTGGTCCTGGTCGCCCGCGGCACCCTCACTGGCGATATGACGGAGACCTTCGCTGGGCTCTCCGCTGGTGGCGCCAAATGAGGTATGCTGGAAGCAGTTGGCGATTGTGCTTGCGGTGACGGCTATCCAGGCGGTTTGTAACATCTCGATTGTTGTCTTGCGCTTCATGCTCATATTGAGCAAAAATCAGTCAATGACACGCCTGCGGTAGCCTGACTTAGTTCACGATCACCCCTTGATTGAGGGGGAAAAAAGTGACTACTTGGGCTGGTTGGTATTGCATTTTTGAAAGAAATATAGTTCCTTAGTGCGCAGAGAACGTTTTCAGGAGGAGGATAGAGCCGAGAGATAGGACAGAGCACACCCTCACTAGGCTCTATCTTCATTCTGAAAACGTTCCCTGCGCACTAAAGAAGTATATTTCCTTCAAAAATTGATCGAGGGGTTGCACAACTGCAGTAGTGTAGCATATTCTAGCACGGTCGCATGCACCTTGGCTCTGTTTATAGCCCTGGCAGCGGCCACCTTTGAGAGCTAAGTTTTTTTGCCGCAACATCTGATAGAATAGGGCAGTCTCATCTGCTTTGAACAGATCCCTAAGGCTATACTTTTCAAGCCGGTGCCCAATGTTCTTCTCGATTCAAGCCACTGCAGCTTCGCGGTCGACAGTGATTCCCCGCTGACTATGTCGTGGCGCTCCTCGATACCCTGCAGCCAGCTGTCACTAGCCCCAAAGCTGCAGAAGCGCCCTACTAACAGGAGTGCCACTTGCTCAGATTTTTAAGAAACCAATTGAACACCGCCTTCTCGACAGCTTCGAAGATGGGAGCTTGCAGTTTCAGACGGTCGCTTTTGACGCCACATGCGACAGCGCTGGTAATAGCTTCTTGCTTGCTTAGAATCGTCAACAGCGTGTTCAATGGTACGTCGAAATCTTCAGGCACTTTATTTTTTATTTTTTTTTGACACCAGACTGAACGGCTTTCAACATTGCAGACTTCTGCTCGATTGTTATTGTTTTGCGCTTACAATTGCCTTTGCAATTGTCCATCTCGTGCCTAGCGGCAGAAACTGATAGTGGTGTTGCTTCTTTCACAGCGAACGACAATGAACCAAGTCACCATCTCCACCGACCCGGCGCGGAGCTGAAGGGGAGTAGGAGGTCAGATGCGTGCACGGGTCAAAGAGTTCCACAGGAGAAAAAAGGCCGGGCTGGCGCGCATGCGCGCGCCAGCAGCTGCGCGGAAGAGATTACCGCAGCTGTGATGAGATGCAAACCGTTGCACATTATAAGATATTGAATTGACGCTATACCAAAATGATCAGTAATAGCTCGTTGTGGACAAAGGATGGTTCGTTATGCCCATTGTGAGCACTATTTCACTTCGTAAAAACGAGGTTCTAAATACATAGGCATGTATGAGAATTTCAAAGGGAATCACAATTGCTTCGTTATATTCATTAGTTAGTTATATCCCACTTCGTTATGACGAGGTTCTACTGCACATCTAAGAGCCCATCCTACATTTAAGCAGCGATCTTCCGCGCTTCTTGGGTATGCTACTTACCTTTCCATGCCACACCTTTTAAACCATTTTTGGGCAAAAATAGGTCACACCGCATGCCAAAAAGGTGGAAACACCAAACGAAAAGGCAGAGGGCAGCGTTTGTACTGCAAAATCAAACTGTTTCTCACACATTGTTCTTGCTTCAGAGCACGAGTTCTACCTCGACAACTGGATCTTCATGTTGTCTGGAGCAAGCTTTATGACAGCTTGCCAACCCACAGGCTAGGCCCAATGAACATTAGCTGCCTCATCAGTAGACTATGGGCAGTCAAAATTTCAGTAATGAACCAAGTCAACAAACTCTTTGCAATGAATGCATTCACAAAAGTGATAACCACAGTAAAACGAAAGAAAGGGGTAGAGTAGAAACACTAGCCATTAGTTGGCAGTGCCATGTTTTGAACATTGTGCATCCGCCCAAGATATCAAAAATGCATAGAAGTTCAGTCAGCAATGGGAAATTTCAGTTCCATGGAGAAATCAGCATAACTAATGTGTAGGAGATTGGTCGGCGACTTTCCATGACAGCACTCTCTCTTGTCAGCCTTTTTTTTCTCACTCTATTTTGTTGGCAACCTCGATTTTAAACAAGAACTTTAGGACATTCAGAAATTTAGATGGATGTTCATACTGCGGTAGCACACCACAATGCTCAGACACATGCTTTACATGTATCTGAAGTCTTTGGAAAAGGCTGTTTTGGTTACACTGTAGATATTCACAACTTTGGCAACTCATGTCCCGAGTGGTCTATGCTATAAATAGGATTTAAGTTGCATTTTTGTTTTTCCCCACACAATAAACAGGCACTCTCGCATTGGTGTCTGTCGTGGCTTAGCCTCTCCCACAGTGCATGTTCACAAGATCGCACACATTGATAGGGTTAACTTCTGCTGTAATCCATTCTTCCAAACCCCGAGAAAGAAATGCGTGCTCACTGGTAAATGGTCTCATTGATGTCGCTGCTCTCCTCGGTGTGATCACCGCCGTGATGTTGAAGGACTGCCTCCAGGGCAGCTTCGTTGCGCCGAAGACCTTCCGGAATGTAGAACGGATTCTCTGGATCAAGCTCTGGAATCCTACATACGAGAGCGTAGAGGCACAGTTTGTTTATCATTATGCAACGACTGCACATGTTACTCATACACACGGTTAAAATAACATGGCCAACATGGTTTCCATTAAAAGCCGTATCAGCAAATTGCTATTCTACCCTGCCCACACCCACCCACCCACCCGGTTACTACCCCTACCTCCACCCCTTACATACAAACATGCACGCGTGCAAAACCACAGCAACAGCAGTAATTAACATGTGTCCACTGTACAGGCTCATTTAACGCCAACATCATGTAATAACCTCAACAAAAACTTTGTTAAATAATATCCCCTAGAAATATAGTTAAAAATTACCCACAATTAGCTGCACCCTTGTTTTTCCTTTTAAGTTAATTATATTAGCCATTGAGTGTAGCGAGAATTCCAGAGGTATTGACTTTTTCAAAGGAAAAGCAAGGCGGCTGTACTTCAGTTTTCGGTGCTTACAGGCAGCAAATGCAAATTTCGCTAGATTTAGCAGCTGCCTCTAAGGTTCTGCCATTTATGAGACTAAGCAGACAGCCGAAGAAGGCAGCCCTAGAGTGTGTGCCATTGGTTTTTGATAGCGTGGCATGGAATTTCTTTCAAGACTGTGGAGAAAAGCTTCAAGGCCACGGGAATTTTGAAATACAATAGAATCTTGTTAAGCGAAACCTGAAAAGACCAGGAAAATGTGTTTTGTTTAGCCCGAGTTACGCTTACCGATAGATGTCCGAGGGTGGAGAATCCATGCATGAAACCCGTGTTAGAGGTAGCTGTTCCATTTAAGCAGCAGTTCTGTTTAACAGACTTCCGTTTATTGAGAGCCACCTGTATTCGATGAAATGGAGGACAACCTCGTCTGGGACAGAGGCGAGAGAGCTCGAGGATGTGACTAATAAAGAGGAGGCGGAGGATGACGTCGAGAAACAACATTTTTGAAACTACGCCAAGGTTACCGAGGCTGTTTTTGGTGTATCCGAATATAAAGAAGCAAGTACTCTGCAGGTAGCCGAGAACATGTATGTTGCTCGCACGGCCAAAGTCCGATGAAAGGGCAGCTTCTGCAGACTCACTGCCGCTCGTTCAATAGTTGAAATCGGCCACAAATACAGAGCAGTGCTGATTATTCTGCAATCTTTCAAAGCACACACCACACCCAGTAGCGACCATGTTCGCTTTCCACTTAGATGACTACGCAACTTCGCAGGGCGTTCACGTTAAAAAAATCAAGGCCCTGCGGAGACAGGGAAGACTAGCTACATTAAGAAGAAAATTGCAGTACTAGTTCCCCTTCGCGACAAATGATGCAGTGTGTTTGTGAATAGCCCAGGAAAATCTCAATAATGGGAATTCAGACAATCGATACCTGGCTGTCAACTTTTGACATCCAGCTATCTGCTATAGCCTAGTTGAAGTATTTATATAATTCTATATATGTGATGCGAAATTGTCTTGAGGGAGAAAAATTGTCTTCAGGGAACACCAAATCTACTAAAGTCATCAGATTCTCAACATTTCTGCCACTCCCACACGAGGAAGACCACATAAATCAATTTACTCTCCCAGCCACCAACATATTACCACGTAAGTAACAAAAATAGAGGTTTTTAAAAATACTTTGCCACTCTAAATTAGTTTAAAGTTCCTTGTTAGCATCTACAACGATTACTGCATGCAGGAATAAGTAGTGAATATCAATATGGCAGAGCTCACATATCTTTCTGCTTATGGCAGAAGTCCTTCCAGTAACCATGCTCTTCAACGAGGTTCTTGTACTCTGCCAGTCTCCGGATCCTTTCCTGATATTCTGAACTAAAAGAAAAAGAAAGGCAGGAATGTGAAGTACATATTTTCCATGCTTTCCATTTTAAGTCATACCAGTTAGCTACAGAAATATTTTCTGTGAGGCACTACTTCCCACAGTCCCACAAAATGTGCAGGCAGTGCGAAGAGGCACATTATGCATCCTGCTTTTTCTTCTATCACATAGACACTACCAAAAGAGTTCCCAGAATAATGCAAGGATTCCATGCACAAAAGACGCTGCCACAGACCATAAACTGTGGCTGCAAGCCCTTTGTACTCGGTGATCCAGTGAGAAGGGTGTCTCAGGCTCAGCAACAAGCACATGCACTTAAGCACACAATTTTTTTCGTTCCACCCTGGCTCCTACCATTGAGATCAGATCTTTGGTAAGAGTTTCAAAAGTGCAACGTCGTGGCGTAGTGTGGGAACACAGCGATGAGCAAACGAACATAAAACTGACTTCTTAGCCATTTCCTATTTAAAAAAAGAAACCTTACCTTTGTGAATTACTACTGTGAAAACTGACACATTACATAAGGAAACAACACCACAGCAAACAATTATGGGACACATTACATACTATTTACTAATGTACGCGTTGCATGACAGATGATTGGAACACCAACCGTGCATGCAGTATGCAGGTCACCCAGCAGCAGAAGTTTGTGGGATGTGGGCTTCACTTCAACCATGAAATTCCGCTCTGTCAGTGGATGATATTTTATTATGCAATGAGTAAATAAATGTAGAGGTTGCAGTAACCACAACGGGTCGAAACCACTGAATACACGGAAATGTTTTCAAGACAAAGCTGGAATGTAGCCTACTACAAAACATGGTGTCACGCAAACGTTTGCAGAAGTGTTTACACGACAATAATGATGTTGCGCATCACGGAGTCTTGTTGCAAAGAATCTTTTTAGCAAGCACAAGCATAGCCTCTCTGTCAACAAGCACTTAGCATAAAAGGGTGAGCAATAAAACCCCTTTTCCCTGTTTAAGGAGACCTGAAACAAGTGTCAGTGGCCGAGCAAGTGCCTTCCCATGCCTCACCACTTTTTTTTTCTTTTTCAAGACTAGTAGCATTGCTAGTGTAAAAATAACCACAAGAATGAGTACACTGATGGCGTATCTGTTCATGAAATCCTGTTGTCAAGTAAATTAAAAAAAACATAATTACAAACATGGATGGACATTTTTTACTTTGAGCAGCTCTCCTGCTGCCATCTTGAATTTGGATTCCTACCTTCCCCCCTTTTCTCAAAATTGTGCCCCGGATTATCCTACACCGTGTAGAAGGGGGGCTTACTCGGATTTTTACGGCCTTACATGCTTCAGAGAGGCCCTGCCAGCCATGCATTTGTCTGCGTATACTTAAACACTCATGTGCACCAAAACATACTACACTAAAAATGCTTTGTTGTCTGTGTTTATTTCATCTGTCATTACAGATGGTGCCAGCCATAAAGCAAGCAAAAACAAAACAAAGGATTAAACGCGGGTACCTTGATAGCATTAGGCAGTACAGTAAAATTCAGCTACTTGGCTCTGACTATACCATGACCAATAGCTCCGAACTTTCACCATACGCATCCAATAACCAAGACTGGTCAGCTTGATCAAGAAATTGGCTTCTGCAATATAATCTGAACGCAGCTAGTCAATATGCATTTGGCTTACTCCAATAACCAATTTCAGTCTCAGTGCTAAGAGCGAACAGCTAATGTGTCAAAAGCAGGCTTGTGCGAATAGTGAATTTGGTCGAATAATTTCAATCAAATTCGAATAGTGTATATGACATATTTATCATGGCTTAATTAAAAAAGTTTAATTAAAATAAGGCCACTATGCAACTGCGTTTCTTTTTTTTAAAAGGAAGTTGAAAGAACTTTGAGTAGTAGCAGGATCTGACTTTCGGTATGATTTGAGTGATCACCTGTAAATTACATTACATTTAAAATTTTATTATACTTAGAGCATAGAAGCCGTCATAACAAGCTTTTAAGCTAAAGAAATGGTGAATTGATTGAGGGTAATATGTTCATTTGAAGAAAGCCCTGCAACATCTTTTCAAGTAGCCATGAAATGGATTCACTAAAAAAGTTTATCTTTTCACGAATTCACCTCGACAATAATTTTTATAATCCGTCCAGTACGAGCAGAGTTGCAAAGATTTATCACAGGCTGCTAATGGCATTCTCTCTTCTCGCGTCCTGGCAAAAGTGTTAGAAGTGGCAAAAGTGTTGCCAATCAGGGAGGGATGGCATGAGGAAAGAAAATAGGTCCCGTGTGCCTCGCGACCCTTGAGCCCTCTCTCTTTTTTTTTTTTTTTCGAATGCACAGCTTTTCAGTGGGATCGTGCACGGTCCACATGTACAAGTGGCGGCCTCTCGCTGCGGTCCCAGTAACGACCAAGTGCGCTATGCTCAAATTAGCCATTGGCTGATACAACAGCTGTGGCGAGTTATTTTTGAGCTTGTGGTGTCATTCACCCCAAGAAGAGAGCAATTTTGCGCTGAGGATTTACTGTGAATTTCAGGTCGCATGCTGCGCTAATATATTTGGCTCGCGTGTTTTCAGTAGCCTCGACCACCAATTGGCAGCGTTTTCCGACTATGCTCAAGAAGTGTAGCAAAGCCCCTTTAAATTTGAAGAGGGGCTTTGCGGCAAAGCGCATTTCCCCTGCAAAGAGGTGCTTTTACCGCTTAGCACCCGTACCCTGCAATGAAACCATCTTTACAGAGATAACATGCCCACTAATATTTAACTATTCGTTCACCGTGAATACTTCGAAACCTTCAATTTTAAATTCGAATACTCTACTATTCATTCGAATATTCGCACAAGCCCAGTAAGAAGACAAGCCACCTTCTCTAAGGAAAGTCTATTTTTCTCTAAACTTCAAACAAAAATGACAGCTTTAAGTGTATTACTGAAACATAATTCCTCTAGCCAAAAAAAAAAAAAAAAAAACTGGTTTGAAAAATGGCTGTGCATTAAAAAAAAATGTTCTAGCGCTCCCATCTGGGCCACTTTTGCCACTGCGATCACAATTTACCTATTTTGTGGTGATGAAAACATCCATATGGAAAACATTCTATATGGAAAGCTAGCAACAATAGAGTTAATTGAAATCTCCAAAGAGCACTGCATCTGTCGCAAGGCACATGCAATTCCCCTCTTACAAACTTTCACATTTGGAACCTTTTGCAAGGTTGCGGGAACAATCTAATACAGTCTAATAAAGTGTAGACCCCTGATAGTGTAACCGTTTAAGGTGCAGGCCCGTTTACAATGCGGTCTTTTTCGACTCCCGTTTTCCCTCCCATGGAACCCTATATATACCTATACTGCTTATTGTGCTGTCCCTCTAAGATGAATGACCGGTCATAATGCAGTTGCCAGGAAATCCCTTCTAACAAGCGTAGTCGCAAGTGCACTTCTGGAATGGGGTGCGTGGGTGCGGCGCAAAGGCTCAAGCGGCGCGTTTGTTACGGAGGAGGAGGGGAAGCGGAGTGAAAGAATGAGGGGAAAGGGGGCGAATAAGCCTGCGGCACGCTGCACGGGTTAGACGAATGAGGGAGGATGACGGTTGCCCTTTGCACCGGCGCCGACATGGCTTCAGCTACTTTCTGCCGGCCGCCTACAGCTCAACGTAGCACATGCGATTCCTTCTTAACCCCACAGCTTAACGTGGCACATGCGATTCCTTCTTAACAACTTTCCTTTAAGATACGAGGCCAAGACGGAAAAGCGATTTTTTTTTCTCAAAATGTCGTTTTCCTGTTTTGATTATCTTAAATACCCGATTCATTACCTGTCAATTTGCTGCTTAAAGCTTCCGTTTAGCCTCGCCACGGTGGTCTGGTGGCTAAGGTACTCGGCTGCTGACCCGCAGCTCGCGGGATCAAATCCCGGCTGTGGTGGCTGCATTTCTGATGGAGGCAGAAATGTAGGCCCGTGTACTCAGATTTGGGTGCAGGTTAAAGAACCCCAGATGGTCGAAATTTCCAGAGCCCTCCACTACGACATCTCTTATAATCATATGGTGGTTTTGGGACGTTAAACACTACAAATCAATCAATCATCAGCTTCCATTTAAGCAGTTTTTTGCAAAAACTCAAGCAAAAATGTCCGACCATCAATCATCCTACGCAGCCAAAACTGAAAGAGCCAATTTTGTGTCAATCATAGGATTAGCTTTTATGTAGTATTTTGTTGGTTATCTTGCACTTGTATCAAGATCTAACATGTAATAATGTTCTAAAAACGCTGTCAACACATCGTTTTTAGTCATAAAAGTGAATCTTCTCACCAGGTGAACGCTTAGCGTCATAAATGTGTTTTTCACGGCCAAGGACACTTGACTCTCGAAACTGCAAATGCCGCAATCCAGCGCAATCGGTTGCCAGACTTAGATTAGTCAAAACTAGTCAAATCTGTGGCCACAGCCGCACAGTGTTGTTCAGCCTGTGCTCTGACAGTAGAAAAAGCTACGCGTTGATCTATGGTCTGCCGTCAGCATGCTTGCGGACTCGTGGAAGGAGGTTATGCAATAGACCTTCCAAAACTGTTTTCGCCATGCGTCGTCCTTCATACCAGATGCCGAGACAATCGTCTCGCACAGAGTGGACGTGTGCGACAAACTTCCAACCGCGGATGTTGCCTTCGACGACCTGCACGCTGCCAGTGTTTCGATTTCAGCCAGGATAACCCTTGAGGGCTTCGCAGACACTGACAAAGACCTCAAGCTGTGTGCGGAATTGAGCGATAACGAAATCGGCCATAAAGTTATGGAGGGTTCCGATGACTCCAACGCCGAGGTCAAAGAGGCAGCGCCTACACAGCCAACGAGCTCGGAATTAAGGTGAGCCCTGACCCTGTCATCAGTGTAGAAAGACGGCATGACGTTAACCGAAATTGAGGCAAACATTATCGCAAGCAAGTAAACACCGTGCGGTTCAAACGAAACTATAGGCTCCAACCACGAGGCCTGATTGCTCTTAGTTTTCCATGCCTCCGCACTACAAAGGAAGTACTTCCCAAACAGTAGTCATAATTTTCATGCATGTAATCATTAACTTACAATACTTAATTGGTGTTAAAATACACAATCTGAAGCTCGATAAATAAATGTGAGAAGGCGCAAACTTTCGCGTCAGCTTAGAAATATATCTGTTAGCTTGAATCGCACCCCCACTGCGCTCATCTGGGAGTCCACGAAGAAGCAATGCACATCTCTCGAAGGCGATATTTCTGCTCAGTACCGATGTTTGTACTAAATAAACAGTGCCACATTTAACGTAACTGTTTGAAATTAGGAAATTGTTCTTTTGCGGTTTCACAAAATTAAACAGAGCCAATAATCACATTTCATTAGGTTGTTTGCATTTTTTTTACGAAACTTTCGCTGCCAGGCTTGTTCGCTGTCTTATGTAACTATGGAAACTATGACTTAAAGCGAAGAATGGAGAAGCGATCTGAGAGACTGAGATTAACTTCGCGAATTTTGATTCTTTTGCTGCCTTAACTACCGAATCGGCGTTGCGCGTCGCCGTGCTTGTCATCGGGCTTGAGGTAAATGCCAATGTTTCATTCGAAGTCTTGTTTCATCGAAATAAAAGCACGCAGCAGACATAGTGCTTAACAATGGGGATCATTACAACGTCGTTGTTAAGATAATGGCCAAGGCCATGTACGCAGCTAAAGTGGCGGCAACTAAAAGCTGTAGGTGAAGTTTTTTTTCTTGCTTCGACAACTTGCACTCCATGGTGTTGCCATCACCCTGTTAGCCCCTGAATGCTCAACTTTTTCAAATCAGGGCCAAGTTTTGCTGCAACAGGAGCCCCTACCTTAAATGAATGTGTCTGTGAGAAGGTGTGTATGTGCAGGCAAGGGTTCTTTCTACAGGAAATGCGAATGAATATCATGCCAGACTTCGCTTTGGCAGGGGAGAGCAATGCATCCGTATTTTCTTTCATGGGACTGTAATATAAAAAAGCTATCTCTATGCATAATACTTGCACGCAATACAGGCAAAATGAAAAATAAATATAACATGAAGTAAGACTTCCTAATATTATATTGTTAAGGATGATACAATGTTTTAAAAGCGATATGTTTCTCTTTTTTTTTTTCTTTTGCTCAACAATAGTTTTAGCGGCGTCTCTTCAGTAACGATCCCAATCGGTTGTAACTGATCATGATTGAGTGATCGCTGTGCCGATAACGACTGATGCAGCAATATTACATAGCTCGCGTCATTTCCCGGTTTGAAGAGACTTGCGTGGCGTTTTACATGCAAGGCGTTCATACTTCGAGTGTGAGACAAGCGCTTACGCAATGGACACTTCAATCTGGCATGTAATTATGAGCCAGTGGCAATATACTCCGTTAAAATGATGCGGCTGTTGCGGCACATTCCACGCAACATACAACACACGCGCGCACATTCAGACTTCACACGAATGACCACGACGACAATTGTCGAGAGTGGTCATCCTAGTGACACAAAGAATAGACGCCGTGTTGCAGCTTCACGCTGCCGAAAAGATGGAACGCGGGAAGCTCTGCCCCTTTGGTGCACTTGAAATGCTGCAAAATCATAAACGCCAGCATCGAATGACAGCCGACGATGATGAGGCTGAGGGCGAGTGGATGAAATAGCTTCTTCTTGACGAAGAGAACACCACAGAAAACTGAATGGACGCCCGACGGTCTCAGCGCAGCGGCACATTGCTACTCGTCGCGAACGGCGCCAAGCTGAATTTGTGATTGGTTCATCGTGACTCTTACGTCATAGTAACAAGCAGCCACAGTTGGATGCGCATAATACAAATGGACAGTGGTACACTTTACTTTTTATTCTTAGCTTGCCATCAACTATAAGCGACCTTTTTATTTTTCTTTCGCCTAACTGTTTACAAATGCAGCACCACCACATCAAATATTTTTTCAATCCTTCTTTCGGCTCTTTTCAGAACCACTTGAATGATGCATTTGCTGAATTGCAAAGAGAACCCTGTACTCCTGCCACGACTCTCTCTATCAGCGACAAAAACTTCTCAAAAAGCGTGTTTTCGCTTGCATTCTTTTTTCTGAACTGCCCGATTTTCTCAACGTTTTCGCAGTCTCTTGAGAGTCCGAGAAATCGGACGCCCGCTGTACAGTCTAAAGTGGCTGTGAAGAGAAGCATAGTATCGAAAAGGCGTAAAATAATGAGCAGGCTTACTAAAGGTTGTCACTGGGTTCCAGCTCCAAGACTCGGATGGGTTTGTTCTTTTTCCTCTTCCACTTCTTGGCTCTCCCGTCCACCTGAATGTCCTACGAGTCGACGAAAGCATGTGATGGCGCAAGGCAATTCAATTACGCAGGCCGCGATCACATGCGCATTTCAAAAGTGATTACAAATGTGACAATTCAGTTATGGCTCAATTATCATGAGAGACTTTTTCACTGTGGTTGATCAATATGCCAATTAAGAAAGAAGAAAAAGAACAGAAAAAACTAGACATGAAGAGATACACACCTCATCAATGTCTTCGTCTTTCTTCAATACATACTGGGCATCTGTAAAACATTCAAATTGAATCGCGTGCAAAGTAAATGATGCGATTATGTGTCCTATTTTGGGTTTGTGTCTCGTTACATAATTAGCACGACAAAAACTGATCTGGTCACATACCACGCTGCACTGGATGAGCAGCTTCTGCCTGCTCGGAAGTGGCAGGCGCAGCTTGTTCGGAGGACGGCTTTGGTTGCACCTTGGGTGGCTTGGCCCGTTCGACCGAGGGTTCCTTTGGCATGTCTTCAACAGCGGCGCCTGTCGACTCGCAGGAAGGCACTGATCTGCAGCAAAGCAGCATCTTCATCTTTATCGTTCGTTGGCTGCTTGGTGCCAGGGTCAGCGGCACGGCGCTGCTGTTTCTTCTGTTCTCGTTGTTCCAGCTTCTTTTCCTTCCTGAAATGACAGTGAATGACCTGAAGCTGACAATACGAGCGTTTGTAACCACATAAATGCACTCGCTGGAAGAAGCATACTGATAGATCATTGACTAACAATGTTCACTAACACTAGTAGCAAGTAATGCAGTCAAACCCACTTGATGCAATGCCTTCACCCGCTGCACAGGGTGCGTTCCACCGGTACGCTAGCTACACGGCTGATTTTAAACTTAAAGTTGGTTGAGCATACGCTGGAGCCTGGGAACCGAGCAGCTGGATGACACTTCAGCGTCGATGCGTGCGCGTTGGTTACGGGAAAAAACAGCTTCGGGATACGAAAATGATTCGTCAAGCATTATTTCCCGTGCCAAAACAAGCAAAACCTCATGCGAAATTTTTGCTGTTATAACACCCGTGACTTTTTTTTTTCCCGCATAATGAACCCTACCCCCAAATTGATGTCAACTTTTCTGAAAAAAAAAAAAATGGGTTCATTAAGCGAGTAAATATGGTGCATGATGGTGCCACTAAGGCATTCAAATGATTTCCCTCGACGTCCAATTTCTAGGATGCCCGAAATTCTGGACATGCCTGATTTCACAAACTCGTCTGTCGCCCCATCAAGTTTTCCGCAGAGTTAATACATTAACAAGTCCGAAATTCCGGACATTTACAGCTTTCGCCATACAATTTTCCGAACATTATACCACTAACCGCACACTCGCAGTCACTATCGGCACTGTCATTTTGGTTTTCATACCCTTGAACCCACCGCGCCACGGCTGCAGTGCCGTCGAAACCAAAAATGTCGTAATCCAGCGCACACCGATCCATCGACAGCCATAGCTCAGTCAAACCTATAGCCACAGATGCATGGTGCTGTGCCTGAGCTAAGCTGTTGACCTATAGTCTTCCACCTGCATGCTTGCGGACTCATCAAAGACCGTTAGAAAACAGACCCTGAACTGTTTTCGCCGCATGAACTTCACATATTGCTTTCAATGAACTGCCCGCTGCCAATGTTTCGATTTCAGCAGGGATAACCTTTGAGGGCTTCACCGACACTGACAAAGACCTCGATCAATGTGCGAAATTGACTGATGACAATCATTCATCAAGTTACGGAGGATTCCGATAACTCCAACACTGAGATTAAAGAGGCAGCACCTACACAGCCAACTTGTTCAGAGTGGACGCGAGCACTAACACCGTCTTCGATGTACAGTACAGTGACAGCACGACTTTATCCTGGGTAACTGGAACGCTGTGCGAATGAAAATGAACAACTTGAAATACAATACAAAAAGACGCATACCCATCGAGGAAGAAAATTGAGGACAGAAGAGAAAGGGCGTGTCCTCAATTTTCTTCCTCGATGATACGTGTCTTATTGTATTTCAGTAAACATGTACCAACTAGCCCAACAAAGTATTTTAATAAGCGATTTTCTTTTTTCGCCTCTGCCGAAATGCAATGAAAATACTGTACTCTTGCCGTGATCCTGTTTATCAGCAAAAAAATACTAATTAAAAAAGAGCTTTCGACTAGCATTGCGGACTGCCCCATTTTCTGGACGTTTTCGTGGCCCCTTGAGGATTTGGGAGTGGGACGTCGACTGTAAGCGTGCCTGAAAATTCTGTTGCTGGCAGTGCACCTTGTTACAACACAAGGTTGCCTCTAAATTACACTTTGGGCTGTAGAGCCAAAGAGGTTGCTGCATCTGTTTGGAGAATACTCGTGTGTGTGCCTCGTTGCACCATTTCAGTTGCGTAATGAGGTTTTAGTTGCGTAATGAGTTTCAGTGGTCACGTAGCTTGGCATCTAATGAATTCCCATTTTTCTTTACTGCACCACTCTAGGCCACAGCTGGTTGGGCATGGACCTGATGCGTGACAGAAGTCTCTTTCAAAGTGCAACTTGAGTGGATTTGTCTGTCGCTTCAAGCCCTCCATTCTGAAGGGCTCACTAACACCTTAACACCTTGGTATGTAGATGTGGCTCACAGCCACAGACTAGGGTGTCAAGGCAGGGGTGGCTTGTACGACTGCTGAAACATACCTAGCGAAGGCAGTCCCACCAAATGCTTAATGCGAGATTCATTGCAAGAATATTTTCCTTCCCCAAAGGCGAGAGAAGTTTTGTTGAAAACAACCAGCCTGCAAATAGGAGAATGCGACTCTTTCGGGAATATATATTTTTTTTTCTGCTTAACCTACATATGACTTTCTTGAGACAACCCCTGCAGAGAAAATTGTCCATAAAACAAGAATACGTATTTCAAGTTATTGAGATATATGGTGCTGCATGAATGGAGTTGCTGCAATGTAGCAATTTGGTAAAATAATAAGCAGAATGCGAAATGATTTAAACAGAAAAAAAGAAAAAACAGCTTCATTATCATTACACAAATATTAGAAAATGAAATAAGACATGTTAGACTCACTTCGTCTTCTTCTGTTTGGGCGCAGTCTCAACAAGCAGTTGATTGTGGACAAACTAAGTGGGGAGAGAGAAAAAAAGGTTTCAGCTCGAATTAAAAGCATGCAAAAATATTGAGCGGAGCGTATGTAGAAACCACATTTTCTGCTAAGTAAAGTACAGTAGCGGCCTATGTTCTTAACCAACTAACGATGTTTAAACTTGTACTTGCCTGCTTGCCAATTGTGCCGTCTTTTTCAATGGCTTCAACTTTTATGACAGCACTGCAGCAGTCTGGAGTTGGGCACGCCTCACCCAGGAAGCCCTGAATAAATGTTCCGGTCGCATTATTCTGCTGCACGTGTCATGTCACTGGAGTATTGAGCATTCATACAAGACGCAAAATCATATGGACCATTGCCTCTCCCGCACGGTGAATCCCCTTCCATCTCAGCCTGCACCATTTCAAGTTTTGAAATTCCACACTTTGAGCGTCCCCAACTCAACGGTTGAGGTGTCTGCTTTGTGCATTTCGTCCCCAAACATGGCACACAGATAGCGCTAAAGAATGAAAATATGAATTAGTCGTACTGGCTGTTGAAATGACAGGAATAGTCATCTCTCTGAAAAGCTCAACATTCAGAAGCTCATTGTGAAAAAAGTTTTATATTGTTATAGGTACAAATTTGAAAACAAGGAGTTCACGTAGCATTTATAGTAACAACGTTTCACACCAAGACAAGTGAGAAAGGCTTTCAAATCGTTTTTAACAATGCTGAATCTTCTCCCTAAGTTAAGGGCCGACCCTTCAGCAACAATGAGGCTGGAACTACGCATGGAAACAGCTGTGTCTAAAGATTTATCTGCGAACAGTATTCCTCACCATGCCACTATTTTTGAAACACTGCTGCAAGACTGGACACAAGAAAAAGGCATGAAAAACTGCTTTCAATACTTCTACTGCCCACTTGTGTTGTAAATTTGTGAATTGTCACTGATTCCTGGCACTAAGAGAAGCCCGAATAGTAGGCTTGCATGAATATTCAAATGCTTCAAATATTCGAATGAATAGTACATTATTTGAATTTAAATTAATGAAAAATTCGAAGTATTTGCAATGAACAAAGAAATGTTTTTTAGTCCACATGTAACTCCCTGTAAAAGTGGTTTCACCACAGTGCAGAGATGCTTAGTCGTGAAAGAACCTTTCCAGGGGAAATTCGCTCTGCCGCAAAGCTTTACTTCAAATTTAAAGGGGCCGTGCAACACTTCTTGAGCATCGGTCAGAAAACATTGCCGACCGATAGTCGATGCTACTGAGGACACGCGAGCCTAATATTAAAGCGCAGCGTGCAGCCTGCAATTCACCATAAATTTTCAAAGCCAGCTAAATATTGCTCTTCTTTCCCTGAAAATGATGCCACAAGTTCCAAAATCACTCATCACAGCCATTCTATGAGCCATTCACTGATTTGAGCATGGCCCGCTCGGTCCTTACAGGAGCTGCCGCGGGAAGTCTTGACTTGTCCACGCGTACGTGCTTGATCGCACTGAAAAGCCGCATATTCGCCGAGGGGAAAAAAAAAAGAGAGAACGAGAGAAAAGTACTCAAAGTCAAGAGGCCCGCGTGAGGTATTTTCTTTCCCCAAGCCAATTTTCCCCAGTTTTCCAGTGCTTCCGTCAGTGCGAGAAGAAAGAATGCAGTTGCAGTATGCGACAAATCTCTCCACTCATACTGGACAGATTCTAAAAATTTTTGCGGCGGTGAATTCATGAGGCAATAAGCTTCTTTTAGTGAATACATTTTAGGGCTTCTTGAAAAAATTTTCCACGGCCCCTTTAAATGAACATATTCATCTCGAATCTATTCATTTTTTAAAGCTTTTATGCCCGGCTCATATGCTGAAAGTAGTAATAGATTTTAATGTGTTATGTATTTGACATGTTATCACTCACATCAAAAGTCAAATCCTGCTACTACTCAAAGTTCTTCTGACTTCTTTTGAACAAACAAAAAAAACAAGACACTTGCATAGAAGCCTTATTTCATTTTTTCTTTAAATATCGTGCAGGTTAGTTATGTCGTGATAAATATGCCGGTCTTTCTTTATATGCCATATATACTATTCGAATTCGATTCAAAATTATTTGATCAAAATCACTATACACTTTGAACCTAAAATTCGCCATTCGCACAAGCCTACCGAATAGGGTTGAACGAATGCGACTGGTCATTGGTGATGCAATAGACCCGTGAGAAGGCAGATATCATATTATTGAATTGGCCAGCTATGTTTTAAACGTACTTCAATGTCACTTTGTTCAAACCACTCCCTTGTATAACTTCAGTAAATTAATACTTATTGCAAAAGGGGCAGCAGATAAATTTTGCCAAATATTGTCTACCTTTATTGCTCCTAGCCGAACATTGGCATTTTTACGTTACTACCAGATGCAGATAAAACCCGTTGCATACCTAAAAACCAACAAAACAACCTGCAAGCACAATCATCCGCATGTTTGATCAGAAAAAAAAAAATACAAGAACTAGGTCAACTGCATGTTGAATGCTTTTAATCCCTTTTCGCTGCAATACAGTAATGTTGCATAAAAAAGCATATCAAGATTTAAACAGGACTTCTAAGCATTGAGAAACGTTGCACATTTTAACATTCTTTAGTATGATCACAGACGTGTAAAATCTTTGCTGGGAATCATTGAGGTATACGACATTGTCGAGGCCCCGAACTACAAAGTCGCAGCACAGAAGGTACGCTGATTATGTTTGGTACGCTAAAACCTCATCGGTACAATAAACCTCACACCTCGTTGGTACAGTAAAACCTCACACTAGTTGGTGCAGCAAAACCTCCTTAAATCGAACTCGGTTGCACTGAAATACCACATAATTCAAAATATTTGTGTGGTCCCTTATTTTGTAATAAAATTCTGGGCAGATAGTTTGAAGCGGCGGTCAGTGCCAGTACGGTTAATTCGAAAACTTTGCATACCATGTGCCAATGCCAGATTTTGCGGCAAATTTGCAGAAACGATGACCCCCAAGAATCACAAGACAATGATACATAGTGATACTAATGAGTGGCAGCTGAAGCAACCCAGCCTCGCTGCTTCCAGAGCAAAAAAGAAGAGAGAAAAAAAAAGAAAAAACGGCCTCGGGGTTAACTTAAATGTGCGCCTGCAGAAAACAAGACGAGCTTCACTGTAATATAGCAGTGACGCGCAGTCAGCATATTGCATGCTTTTCGCAACATCAGTGTGTCATTATTTGCCCATTTTTTTTAGGAAATATAAAGAAAATAATGAAGAACAGTTTGGCAGAATTAGCAATGCATGCAAAACTGATAGCCGCATGCTACGGCAATATGCGCACTTGCAATGCTGGCAGAGTTCTTGCCTGCAACGCCTGCTTCAAAACTAAGTTTGAACGCTTCTATGATCATGTTTTCCAGCCATAACACATCACAAATTTCATCACACTGGCCATTATTAAATTCTTTATTCTACCAGAAATAATGGCCGAATGGTCTAATCATGAGGTGCTGACGCAGTGAGCAGCAAGCGATATGCTGCTTGCATGACATTACTGTGTTGCAGTGAAGATGTCTTCGTAAAGCAGGTGCACCACACTTCTGTTGATCACGACGCCCCCCCCCCCCCCCATTTCAGTGCGAGCACTGAGGCCTGCTGTTACCCCATGTTGGCGACAAAATTGGGACCAGATAATGGTGGGAATCCAGCGATGGCGTAGTGGTTAGAGCATCCGCCTCGCATGCAAGAGGTCCGTGGTTCAAATCCCGGTACCGCGCAGTTCCCAACCGGATTAAAAAAAAAAAATCCGCGTGTTGATGGAACTGCATTAGGAGGCCTGGGGTGCGGCCTCACCGGCAAACACCGCCGAGAACGCACTCCCTCACCAGAGCAGGATTGGCCACCCTGGTGCAGTATCTGGCCACTACCTCCCACATGCTTACGTCAAATAACTCATGGCCCTCAGTCCCAGCAGCTGCGAAGCAACTGACCACGGCGGCGGTCAGATCTGCAACGCAGCAGAGGGTGCTAAGAATCTCTGGATCCGGACAGGCCGCCATTGGAACCTGAACTTGGCAACGTTTAACGCTAGAACCTTATCTAGTGAGGGAAGTCTAGCTGTACTATTCGAGGAGCTAGAGGGTGTTAAATGGGATATAATAGGGCTCAGTGAGGTTAGGAGGACAGATGAGGCCTATACGGTGCTACAGAATGGGGCACGTCCTTTGCTACAGGGGCTTGGCAGACAGAAGAGAACTGGGAGTGGGGTTCCTAATTCACAGAAACATAGCTGGCAACATAGAGGAATACTATAGCATTAATGAAAGGGTGGCAGGTATCGTAATTAAACTGAATAAAAGATACAAAATGAAGGTAGTACAGGCTTACGCGCCTACATCCAGCCATGATGACGCTTCAGTTGAAAGCTTCTATGAAGACGTGGAATCGGCAATGAGTAAGGTAAAAACACAGTATACTATGGTGATGGGCGATTTTAATGCAAAGGTAGGGAAGAAGCAGGCTGGAGACCAGGCAGTAGGAGATTATGGCATCGGTACTAGCAACGCCAGAGGAGAGCTACTAGTAGAATTCGCAGAACGCAATAATTTACGGATTTTGAATACCTTCTACCGAAAACGAGAAAACCGCAAGTGGACATGGAGGAGCCCTAATGGCGAAAATAAGAACGAAATAGACTTTATAATGAGTGCACACCCTGGAATCGTTAAGGATGTGGAAGTGATTGGCAAGGTACGATGCAGTGACCATAGAATGGTACGGTCTCGAATTCGCCTAGACTTAAAGAAGGAACGACAGAAACTGATACGCAAGAAGCCAATCAATCAGCTAGCACTGAGAGGGAAAGTACAGGAATTCAGAGTGTCGCTGCAGAACAGGTATTCGGCTCTTAGTGAGGAAACCAACCTTAGCGTAGATACAATGAATGATAATCTGACGAGTATCATTACGGAGTGTGCAGTGGAAGTTGGAGGCCGGGTAGTTAGACAGGACACTGGCAAGCTTTCCCAAGAAACGAAGAACCTAATTAAGAAGCGTCAAATCATGAAAGTGTCAAGTACAACAGACAAAATAGAACTGGCAGAGCTTTCGAAGTTGATTAATAGACGTAAGGTATGCGATGTAAGAAGGTATAACATGGAGAGAATTGAACACGCTCTGAAAAACGGAGGAAGTGTCAAAGCATTGAAGAGGAAACTTGGGATAGGCAAAAGTCGGATGTATGCACTAAGGGACAAAGAAGGCAAAATAACTACCAATATGGATAGGATAGTTAAAATAGCGGAGGAGTTTTACACAGATCTGTACAGTAGCCGAGACAACCACAACCTTAATACTATAAGAACTAGCAGTAACCCAGATTACACTCCACCAGTAATGATAGAAGAAGTCAGAAAAGCTTTGGAGAGCATGCAAAGGGGCAAAGCTGCTGGTGAGGATCAGGTAACATCAGATTTGCTGAAAGATGGAGGACAGATTGTGTTAGAAAAACTAGCCACCCTGTTTACGAGGTGTCTCCTGACGGGAAGAGTACCAGAGTCTTGGAAGAACGCTAACATCATCTTAATACATAAGAAAGGAGATGACAAGGACTTGAAGAATTACAGGCCGATCAGCTTGCTCTCTGTAGTATACAAGATATTTACAAAGGTAATTGCTAACAGAGTAAAGAAAACATTAGAATTCAATCAACCAAAGGAACAAGCAGGATTTCGAACAGGCTACTCAACAATTGACCACATTCATACTATCAATCAGGTAATAGAGAAATGCTCAGAGTATAACCAACCACTATACATAGCCTTCATAGACTATGAGAAGGCGTTTGATTCAGTAGAAATATCAGCCGTCATGCAAACACTGCGGAATCAGGGCGTAGATGAAGTATATATAACATTCTGGAAGAAATCTACAGGGGATCAACTGCTACCATAGTGCTTCATAAAGAAAGCAACAGAATACCAATCAAGAAGGGTGTAAGGCAGGGGGACACAATTTCCCCAATGCTATTTACCGCGTGCTTACACGAGGTTTTCAGAAGCCTAGAATGGAGCAGTTAGGGATAAGAGTCAATGGAGAATACCTTAGTAACCTGCGCTTCGCCGATGACATTGCATTGCTGAGTAACTCGGGGGACGAATTGCAACTCATGATTACGGAGTTAGACAAGGAGAGCAGAAAGGTGGGTCTTAAAATTAATCTGCAGAAAACGAAAGTAATGTACAACAACCTCGGCAAGGAGCAGCGCTTCGAGATAGGTAATAGTGCACTTGAAGTTGTAAAAGACTATGTCTACTTAGGGCAGGTAATAACCGCAGAGCCGAACCACGAGATTGAAGTAACTAGAAGAATAAGAATGGGGTGGAGCACATTCGGCAAGCACTCTCAAATTATGACAGGTAGATTGCCACTATCCCTCAAGAGGAAGGTATATAACAGCTGTATCTTGCCGGTACTTAGCTACGGAGCAGAAACCTGGAGACTTACAAAGAGGGTTCAGCTTAAATTGAGGACGACGCAGCGAGCAATGGAAAGAAAAATGGTAGGTGTAACCTTAAGAGACAAGAAGAGAGCAGAGTGGATTAGGGAATTAACGGGGGTTAAGGATATCATAGCTGAAATCAAGATGAAGAAATGGACATGGGCAGGGCATGTAGCGCGTAGACAGGATAACCGCTGGTCATTAAGGGTAACTGACTGGATTCCCAGAGAAGGGAAGCGGGTTAGGGGGAGACAGAAGGTTAGGTGGGCAGATGAGATTAAGAAGTTTGCGGGTATAAATTGGCAGCAGCAAGCACAGGACCGGGTTAACTGGCGGAACATGGGAGAGGCCTTTGTCCTGCAGTGGACGTAGTCAGGCTGATGATGATGATGATGAATGGTGGGAAACACAACCCTTGGAGCCGCAAACTAGCCGATACAGCGAAAGACCAGCCCAGATTACTTTGAATAATTTCAAGTTTCTTGCATGCCACTTATTGCACGTTCTGCAAATGCGAAAGCTCGCTTATTTCGAAGGTTTCTTACGGCCCCAGCCACTTTGAACTAACAAGGGTTTACTGTATGTCGTTTGCAAGTCATGAGTCATATGAAAACTTCCGAATGAAAAATCTTGACGTTCAAACAAGTTGGAATTACAGTTGAACCCTTTTATAAGATGCATTTAAAAGAGCAATTCTTGTCTTTTATATGAGATGTCTCTAATAACGAGGGCACCTCGTATGCATTTTTTTATCAACTCATATTTTACAGTAGGCCCACTGGTGTCTCTTATACCCATTTGTCTCTTATATCAGTGTCTCTTATTAAGGGGTTCTACAACTGTATTTACTCGTGTAATCCTCGCACTCGCATAATTCTCGCACTCTCCACATTGCCCAACAAAAATAAGATTTTTTTTCCTTGAGTAATTATCGCACCCCCGAAAACTGCCGCAATTTTGTCATCTGCTCGTTCCAGCCACTGATGATGATAGCGCCACTGATGATGATAGCGCGCGCCGTCTGGCACCATCTCTTAACCATCAAGCGTACTATTATTGCACGGAGATCCAATACAATCCAAACCAAAGTGGCAAGTGCGCGTTGCGGCGTGTTTTGTATGTTATGTCGGTAATCTTGACACATTATGGGGCGATACTGAAGCTACACAGCTGCTTTCAATTTAAAAGTGATAGGTCATGCCCTAAACAACGGCAACGGGGTCGCCGGTAGGCCCTCCGGAGTCTACGAGTTTTGTGTTCGCTACTGGTGACGGCAGCTGAAAGCCACCAAGACGCGTTGGGCCTGCCGTGTGCCTAAAACTGGGATTGATGGTAAACTTTATCTTTCCAGAAGGAAACTGCGAGTGATTCTGTTGAATAGCCATCAGCCCAATACTGTCCTACGCTTACCTTTTGAGGGCTCCTGTTAAACGGCCACTCACCAGGCCCCATACCAAATTTTAGTTATACAGTGGAAGTTGTTGGGTGCTCTCCGGCATTCGACCAAGAGGTGACGTGCGTGACGTGCGCATGACGTGCCCAAACAAGTCCAACTCCCGAGCACGCGAGCAGTAATGCTTTGTTGACCAGCGTTATTTTGTGGTCTTCTATCTGTTTCTGAGAGATCGTTTGGAAACTTGTAAAAAAAAGCTTGTAAAAAAATGGAAAAGCTTGTAAGCTCAAAATTGTCAAACCTGGTGAGTGGCCCTTCAAGTGACGAACGCTACCATTACGCCTGCAACGCCCACAAGCTTTGCGTATGGTATTCAAATTCTCGATTACTTGCTTGCACTTTTTGTGTCTCAAATAAATCTTGCCCTGTGTTGAACCTGTGCTTTTATTGCTGAGGTAAGTTTTAATTAGTACTTCTCGAAGCTTATTGTTAGTTGCTGGTGTGGGAATCCCGATTTGCGACCTTTTTCGCTCTGTACGTTTTCGTGGAACGTTTTCTCCACGTAATTCTCACACCCCGCAACTTTGCATCGGTTTTCCGCCAAAAAAAAAAAGTGCGAGAATCATGCGAGTAAATACGGTATTGACACACCCTATACTGGTGAGGACAGCTCGGCCCTGGGGGGCTATGAAGCCATCGTGCCATAGTGAACGTATGCACAACAGTTTTCCTTTATTGTCTACTTGCCTTTCATAGGGAACCCACCTTTTCTGTTAGATTGCGGGACTCCCTGTACTCCCTCCAGCACGCAGGGTGGTATTGAACAAGGCACTTGGATGCACAGTGCACCTGCTGGAAGCCCTTGAAGTCGGGATCACTATAGTAGATGCTTTTCTGCAGTGGACACGCCTCGTAGCAACACATGGCGTCCCATTTGGGCGGTGCCCGACACAGCACCTGCATCTCCTCCATTGCTTTCTGCGTGTGAAAACATGGGCACTATCATTTAGCAGCAAAAGGACAGTCTACCAAGCTCCGACCTTGGGTATAAATTTTGTAAATTTTCGGGAGGTACACGGCTTGAAAACTGGCTTTCACGCTAGCCCAAACTTTGAACAGACCTGAAGTTGGGGCCTCTTCGCATTGTCGACCTTCGTTTTCGTCTCGGGCCATAACAGGGCCTCGCTGAATTGGATGCCCTTTTGAAGGATACTCAAACACTTTTCAATGTGCGGCAGTGCCTCAGAGAATCTGCATTCAGATAGAACAGAGGTGACCACTATTGAGCACAACGCTTCACAGGTTACAGTTGCTCATACCAGAACTGCAACTCATGTTTGTGTAGCTTTCACAATACATTTACTCTCATGGCCCTAAATTAAGGGAACACATAGAGATGCACAAAGGCAAATGTAGAGTAAACATGGTTAGTCAAAACACTATTTGTAGCAACCTTGTTGTACTGATTGTTTTGTGCAAATAAGAAGCTTCCCTAAAACAATTATGAACTCATGGGCCTGCATTCCTTTTAGAAAATTCAAATGGCCCATCACGAGCGAAGCACTGCGGTGCTGCACATACAATGCTCAGCGAATGAAATGCTATATACTCCGATTGGAACCTATAGGGGGCGCTTTGAAAACTGGATGCAGCGCTACTTGTGGTGCGGCGGGCGCGCAACGTTGAGAATCGTATAGCAGACAGCAGCTCGGCATTGCTCTGGCAGTAATGGTGGCAAAAGCGCCCATGGCCAGAGCATTGATTCTTCGAGCAAAAATAGAAGATATCATAGCGAGACTTTCTTTTGCAATTCCGCTATGGAAAAACCTGCACAAAAGCAGCCATGTTTTCCATGCTAGCGCCTTGCTGCCCATCATCAGTACCGACGGCAAATGCGTGAATCAGGATATTAAATTACTTTAATCAATCAAATTTTCGAATTACTTGCTTCATAACTATTAAGGTAAACTGTCATTTTTCACACTGAGAATATTATTGGTGCGTGCCCAATATCTGCGTACTTGCAAAATACTCAGAGCATTTACAAATACCAATGGCTATAAGGCCATTCACCGTTGATATCATGGCGAGTGGGCGGCAGCGTGCTCGCTTGTTGCGGCTTTATGTTACGGCGATTTCAGCCACAGAGTCTCGCGAATTGTTTCGCTTCAAATTATTGCGAGATCATCCTCGCTCATTCATGATCATGGTCTTGCTAAGAGCTTGGGGCACGGGCGAGAAAGAATACACGCTATGATTTCAGCCAGAGAGAACGCTTCAGCCCCGTTTCGTCTTTTGCTTCACCTTGTAAAGTGGCAATCACTTTCGGCCACCGCGACATATCTCTCATTCACTGCAACCTCTTGAGTTGTTTATGTTGCTTTCCGAAACACACACCCATTGCTACAACATTGGCAAAGTTTCGTTTTTTATCCTGTAGTTCTGCTGCTCTTCGCCCTGAATCATTTCTTCCAACATGCAGATTGTTTAACAATGAAAAAGAAGACTTCTAGATGAACTACAATTGAATTTCATTAATTCGAACACACTTAATTCGAACTCACGATGAGGTCCCGTGAAAGCTATGTGTATTCTAATGGGTGAAAATGCCTGGTAATTCGAATGCACAAGCACTTGTGACGGTTAATTCGAACATAACGCGCTCAGAAATTGCTCTCAGCACCCCACCGAATCCCGCGGCGGCACCTGCGACACCACAACGCTGCGGGCGAAGGAAAGGAAAAGGAAAGAAAAGATTGCAGTGAAATGTTTGCTCTCTCTCAAATGCCGATCTGCGACGCGCCCGTGTCACGCTTCTCCCTTTTCCGTACCTGCCACATAAAGACCCTTCTCCTTCCAACGCTGCGCGCGAACAGAGAGAGGAAAAAAATAAAGCTGTTGCTGGGTTGAATGAATGTGTGGTTGAAGGAAAGGAAAAAGGCACTATCTTCTGCAGCCCCTGCCTCTTGCGGGAGCACTGCTCTGCGCCTTGAGGGGGGGGTGGTCTCTCCCCGCCACGTCACCCTTCTCCTTTCAATGACATGAGCGAAGAGAGCAAAAAAAAAAACTGCTGTGGAGTGTTAGTTTTCTCTCAAATGCTGATCTGCCTCGCTCCGCGTGGAGACCTTTCTCATCACGTGCTGGCCATGCTGTAGCTGCGTAGTGGAGAGGCTTCACTACGCAGTCGTCGTCTTAAGAGTGTGTCGGCGCTGGACATTTCTGCGCGCAACTTCTCTTGCCAAGAGAATGCTGAAGCCGAAGTAGAAATGCTTTGCAAGCTGCGTGCGAAATTGATTGACTCGCTGCAAGGCAAACGTGTGCAGATGCGCATCACTGATTACTTCAAATAATGATGGTTGTCCTGTGATTTGTGAATAAATGTAAGTCTTCTGAAACTTCCCCTTTTGTGTTACCTCATACACTGCATGGAGAGCCCTCCACTTATTTAGCTTTCATTAATTCGAACTTCTTTTACTTCGAACAAATTTTCTGGCCCCTTCGAGTTCCGAGTTATTGAGATTCGACTGTATTGTGAAGAATGCGATTCAATTTATCACTTCCAAGGGTTCTTTTCTTTGGGGCTACATCACTAGGTTATAGCCAACGGAGCATTTTCAATGACGAATGCTATTTACTAGGCAAGACGAACCGAATTTAATGCTTAGGTTATCTCAACTAAGCTTATTCTTTAACAACATTAGTGTTTTTTTTCGTACATTAAGCTAATTAATTGTTTCGAGAACAATCTATTGCTGAGCATTTTGAGATTATCAACAAATTCCTTTATATAACAAGACACCGCCAATTTCTTGGCCGCTGCCTGTGCGCATGGGTTGCGCCAGTTTAATAAGGGTCAAGCAAACCATCAAACTCTTGCCTTGATACCACCGCGTTCGCATAGCTGCTGGACAGATAGTTGTGTTTACGGTAATATGCTATGTAACTCAGTTCGCCCCTTAACTGATGGTCCTACCAACCTAAAAAAGCACTAATTGACCTCGCATTGCCTTCCCCAGAACTGCAAAGGTTAGACGGTGAATTAATAATTATTAAGGCTTATAAACTATTCCATCAGCCTTGAGCTGAATTAAATGCCTTGCAAAACTTTCTTTTCGCACCAGCTCTATGGCAGCAAGAACATCACGAAGGATCATTCCATCTGCTGAGATCGTGTCCGACCAATTCAAGCATGCATCATCAGAACCAGAGACTGCAGAGGGAGCGGGAACCACACATTTTTTATGTCTCACAACCGTAATCCACTTATTACGCTGCCCAATAAAGCACGGACAAGTCGAGAAACTGTAACACGTCATTTCCGCAAGACACAATGTGTACCTTTTAGTGCAACCGACTACCGTAGCAGTTCATAATTCCGTTAACTACGTGCCTAGCGGGCATTGGGAGAGCATTCGGTCCTGCTTGGACTCTCAACAGCCGTCTGCTTTGATGGCTGCGGGTCAGTCCTGAGGCACTTCTTAGCAGTGCTTCACTACACAGCTTCCAGATTGTGGTCCCCCTATCACAACTAAACAAGCTTATTCCCTACAACTCATTCGGATTTATTTTCTGTCCAACCTAGTTGCCCTTTTATCGACATCAGTTATTACTTGTCGGTTATTGGTGAGGCTAAGTACAAAACACGTTCATGTTAAAAGCTTTCCTAATGCATAGCTGTTGTAATATGAAAAACTGCTCTCCCAATGACATACATGACATACATTGAACTTACAGTACAAAATTAAAAAATAAACCTCGACCCTTCACCCTTAACCACCTTCCTGCGTAGCACCCACTTTCAAGTGTTACCGATGCAGTGCCAATCCAACCTGTGAAGGGCTGCAATGAACCATAACATAAAGTGCTACACTACGCACTACGACGAGACAAAGGCTAGCTCGCTCGTACTTACAGAAAACACTCACCTGTTCATTTTGATCAGGGCCCTCGAGACACCATAGTACGCCAGAGGAAAGACGATGTCCTTGTGGTTACTCACAATTCCAAGAAAATATTCGACCGAGTTTTTCAGATCCTACACGACAATGGCACCCAATGAGTGTGGGGACTGATATAGCCCGGGGGCAAAAATAGCAGCCATGTTATATACCTACCTCTAGGGACCCCATTCCAAGCAATGCACAGCCAGCAGCGTATTCCACGAGCACTACATCGAGCTCCGTTAGATTTGGCTGAAGAAGCAAGGCAAAAACAAAGTCCGGATCACAAAGTCATTTCATTGCAAAATGAAGTTTTGTTATCATTAGCACTATGCTCGTGGGTAAACCTTGGATGGAAATTAAGAGAAACAGTAAGGAAGCTCGAGTGAGTTGATTAACTTTCATTCTTTACAAGGACAGCCAAAAGAACGAAGAAGAGTAGGTACAGCCGCAACATAAATGTGACATAATGAGAGAAATTTGAGAGTAACTGCATGTGTTTTTCTTACATAAATGCATCATAAATGTGAGAGCAACAACAAAAAAAAAAAAACAACAGGCCTCACTATAGCAATGCCTCACTCTTACGAACTTCACATATCCCAAACAAGCTTGTAATAGCTGAAGACCACAACAATCATGCATCACGATTATTGCAGTGCTGCATTCCAGGCAGAAGCTATATTTCGAAAAACTATTCCCGTGTAGCCGTCCCATCGTCTTCACTTTTGAAGAGAAGTAAACGACGTTAACATAGTGTATGGGCAACGTTACCGTTGACTGCTTCTCTGCACTGTGAAACAGTGCTTGGGCCCTGTGACGACCAGGTTTGGCCAATCATCTGTGACGTACGTTGGGTTACTTCTTTTTTGTTGGGTTACTTCTTTGCTTACCTCTCTAGTGCCTCATATCCCTCTCACTGCACTTCACCACGTTGCTGTAACATGGGCCGCATGTAGAGTAAACCATGCTCGGGTGTTGGCTGTGTGGTGTTGTTAATAGCTAACATCATGTTATGTAGCTGATGTGGGCTACGTAATGCAACGACAAGCTAAGCCTTTTCCTCCTAGGGACAGAAATGGTTGGGGGAGGTCAAAAGAGAAACCGAAAGTAGCTAAACTGGTTGTTCCATTCACAGAGACTTCTTCATTGCACGACTTGTTAGCTAAATGCTTGCGGCAGCATGTTCACTATCGTAGAAGTGCACAATTATCTTTCATCACAAATTTTGGACCGTGCAGCGGTTTACTGGCCCTCACTTTAACAAAATATGTTTACCCTCTACTTCAAAATAAAATACAAGGTGTGCATTAAAAGTGTAGGGAATGATTGTCTACCGACATGACTATACGTCGCATGGTGCAAGCACGATGCATGTGCTGTTATGGGGGATGCGCCCTTTCAAATAGTCTAAGCGCCGGTCCCTTGCAAATGTTTGTTCGGCCTAGATTGTGCTTTTAGTGGGCCCCTGTCGAGAGACTTCTTGCAAATGCAAAATGCAGCGACTTAACATTGGCACAACATCACGTCTTTAGCTGGCCTGATAATACCGGGAGATAGAACACATCCCAATGATTCCCCAGCCGCCTCACAGCTACGACTAGGCCCTAGCAGACTTCCTATTCTCTAGAAGTAAAATCTTCCTTCACAGAGCACCCCATGTGACAATAAGTGCTGTCAAAGACGTGTGCCCTTAAAGAGACACTAATGTAAAACAATCAATTGGATTGTTAAACAACGCTCTGTGAACTCCAACATTATTCATTTCACTAGTGTGTTTAATGGTAGCTCAAAGCATTATTTTTTAGTCTCACGCTAAAACCTATTGCACATGACATCAAAGATTAGTTTAGTTTTTTTTTTGTTTTCTTTTTTGTTAGGAAACATTAGCTCAACGAAACTTCCTCAAAGTTGGTATGTCAGGTCTCTGACTATCTCAAAAGACAATATACTTCATTTTTACCAACTAGGAACTGCGTAGACTGTAGGTAGATGCCATAAAAACTTGTGACGTCACAGCAAACAGTGTAGTAACTGCAAGGTGGTGTCGCCACTCGTGTTTTATTTGGGCGTGTGCAAATATTCACGTTCCAATACTTTCAATAGTATTTTATACTCAATTTGATTCGCACCGTAATTTCGCTATTCATTGTATTAGGGCCTCCTGAAGACAGAAACAACAATCGACACTAACAGTGACTCCTTCAATTTTTTTTTATATGCTTCACCCTGTCGCACTCACACATTGCGACAAAGCTGTCTTTCACACTCTGCTACGGTCTCAACAGTATTGACTGCAGCAACCACTGGCTTTGGAACATGAAGATGCACTGCACCACAACAGTGACCACTTCATATTTTTTTTTGTATGCTTCACTGCATCGCACATCGGTATTGCAGCAAAGCTGCTTTAGGGCTCTGCCACAGCTGCAAATGCTCAGACTCGCGAAAGCGATGGTTCGAACTTGGGCGGCAGAGGTGAGGCTTTACTGCCATTTCGAACCAGGAAGTCCGAGAAAACCGGACGAAAATTTTTGGCACCTGAAATTTTAGATGTTTCTATGCGCCAACGTCTTAAGGCAGATTACCTAGTCTGAATCCAGAGGGAACACACCCTCTTCTCCAATCGGCGAGATCTCCACAGAAGTTGGAAGAGGTGGAGGAAATAGGGTCTTTCCTATATTATACCACGCCCGGACTAAAGAGGCGAGCACGCTTTCCTTCTTACAGCCTTCACTATCGCTTCGGGCACTAATGGGAGCGTGCGTCTCCGCGGATAACGTCACCGTTCACCGCATGAGGGCGCAGCGACCCTGCTCTAGTTGTAGCGGTTGTAGTTTGGAGAGCTTCTTACTACTGCCGTTCTGACATTGTCTTTTTATGTCGCGTATTGCATCGTTCGACAGAGTGGATGCCGCAAGCCAGATACGTCTTGATTTGAGTACCTTTGACTCATCGCTTTTACATTCTAAGGTATATGTCTTGCAATGCGGAGCAGTGAATCAGTTGCTGTGGACCGGCCAGCGAGACCATGGTGTATTGTTGCGTACCGCACTGTATGTCGCAGTCCAGTAGGACTAAAGGCGTTTCCTTTCATCAATTCCCAAGTGATGCAGAACTGGTCACTAAATGGCTGAAAAACATTTCAAGGAAAAATTGAAAAGAGAGAAATGATCCTCTGTACACACTTCTACGAAGCCAAGATTTTAGCAGGCTGCATTATCCAAAAGCAGAGTTTGTGGCACTGTTGGACAAAATTGTGTGCTTTTTTGAGAAAGCTGTCGTGCACCTTCCACGCACAAATGTGCTGGAAGTGCTACGTATCCTCATTGAGCCACATCCTTGAAAACTCGCCGCTGCTGCGGTTTCCGGAAGGCCGTCAACAACAGCCACGAAGGTCTGCCGGCTTGCAGAGAAGTTTGTGAGAAAACTTCTGATCAACTACACCCACAAGATAACAGAAGAGAAAGAGAAGTCAATAACTTATGCGCATAAGCCTTCCAGGGAACACTTTAGGCTTTGAATTTGTGTCCCAGGAGGACGTTATTTCAGAAAGAAGTGATGTGTTCTACATGACAGTTTTTAAAAAACGTGGCATTAGTGGAGGAAATGCTGAGTTTGTTTTTATTTTCCGTCAATAAATACTTGTTTTCACCGAGTGTGCAGCACCACCCCTTAATTGTTTTTAATGCCAGTGGTGCTCAAATAAAATACCAGCACTTCGGCTTCAGAGTTATGACGCAAATCCAAGCCTAGCGTTTCGTTCTGTGCAAACACTGCACGTTGCGTGGAAATTTGCCGACTCGGATCCATTACTAGGCAAGACAAAACTGCGCGGTGGTTGAATAGGAAAAGAGTCAAAAAGTGTATACCAGTGCATGGCAGTTACAAATAATGCGAGAATGCACGGCCAAAAGGGGAGCGAGCGCACGCTCGCCTTCAGTTTGCGCCGACGACAGAGGCGGCAGCAGTAGGGTCACAGCGACACCACAGGTGCGCAGCGTGCAGGAGAAACAGCCGCAATGAGAAGGCCGTAAAAAGGAAAGCGCTAGCCTCTCCAGTCTGGCCGTGCCTGTACGTGTGTAATGGCTGTCGACATCACATTGGTTGTGCCAAATCATGTAAATAAATGACACTCAGTTCAGGATTGCCCCATTCATAATGATAAGACAACTAGGGAACACCATCTCTTATGTACTTCAACCATTTTGCCAAAAAAAAAAAATCCATGTTTCTTTTGTCCTCTCATACGAATGCGCTTAGGGAATCCCCTTCAACCTCGAGGTATTAGAAAAATACTACCAAATATTAGAAAAAATTTTAGATTCAATTCACAATCAAGCTTTAATACCCAAATACACTTTACAGTCAAAGAGATAAATGTGTATAAGAGACACCAGTGATGGTCATAAAATTCACTTTGAAGACTTTACAGGTATTTTAGCAAAATTTTTAATACATCTTTCCCCCCTTACTTTAGCAATACTTTTCATACAAACGCTGTCAAAAAAAAAGTCTACAGCTACAACAGACAGAATTTACTCACCTTCTGGGACAACACTTTCTTGAAACCTTGTAGCGCTACCTGGTACAGGCCACCAACCAGGTCCTCGCAGGATTTTTTTAAGATGTCCTTCATTTCGTTGTCGGTATCAAATGGTGTCTGCAAATTGCAGAATTGAAATTTGCCTGTCGGCACACAACTAGCAGCACTGTTCGGAAAAACTGACACCAAATTGCGATTAAGGCTGCCATTCAAAGAAGTCGGACTACAGCGCAGACAGACAAACTATTCTATATAGAAGGCACTTATAGTAAGCCAGAAGAGAGTAGTCCACCCTGGCTTTAACGTCCACTCTTTTTGAGTTGAACTCTTTCGCTACCGCGGAAAAAGGGGCTGTTTTTACTAGGTGTGAAAAATAATTTTTTTACGGCTAGATACTGATGTCTTATTTACATTGTTTGGTACCGAAATGTAGCTAAAAAATGCTCTGTCCAATAACATAGTAGTTGTACATATATTTATTAAACATAATAATGAAAAAAAAATTATATAGAAAAGTTTATACAGTGTTTATACATTTAACACTTTAAAAAGGGGTATAACTTAAAAAATAATGAGGTTAAAAAAAACTGAAGATATACAATTTGTAGCCTACTATGTTGCAAAAAGGTTGTTTAAGTTTCAAAAATTATTCCGAAAAACTGTTTTTCCTACAAAAAAGAAAGTTAGTGAGGGTGCGTCTCGCGCCATTCTCGAAAGTAGTCCCTCGTCGGGATGAAACAAAGATAGACACCGCATGGCTTACACAAAACTGCTGTTTTCATTTGTGTCTTTCATTTGTCGTAGCAGAGCTTGCAATTTCGGCGTTTTTCTTGCACCTGGGGCTTGTGTTCCGACTTTTTTGGAGGTGGAGGAGGGGGAGCATGTTTTTCGTCCGTGCCCAGAATCTAGTTGATCAAATGCGAGCTGGTCAAAGCCAGTTTTTCTTGATAGCTCATCTATTTCAGGGTGATCCCTCCAGTGTGTCTCAAAAAGAATAAAACTATTCACGATGGCAATGTCGATGCAGTGAAAGAACAGCGTCTTCCACCATCTCATGCATTTCATCAACACGTTGTAGGAAGCAATGAGTTGATCCGACTTGTCAACACCAAGCATGCCCTTGTTGTACTCTTCTATCAAGAGCGGCTTCCTAACGTGAATCTTGGTCCATCTGTCTGCCCTCTTCACTTTTCGCGTTGCAATGACGTGTTTGTTTGCTGTGTGTGCTGTGCTCATCAAGTTTACTACGCGCTTGTCTTTCCACTGCAAGTACAGCACGTCACTGCATCGCACCAGTGAACGTCTCCTCGAGCTGCTCTTTTCTCCCATATGGTATCTTTCAGCTGGAAGGGGAACCCGCAACGATCTTTCCGTGTCGTTCCGCAAAACAGAGTTTTCCGCTCAAGTAGGTGTACAAACAGAGACGTGGATGTGTAAAAGTTATCGAGGTAGATGATGTATCCTTGATCCAAGTAAGACTCGCAGAGGCACGTTACGTCATAGGCGAGTCCCTTTGAGCTGGGTGCCTCTCTCTTCTCGGTGTAAACACTGAATTGGACAGTGTAGCCTGTCCTTGAGTCTGCGAGGACCCAGAGTTTGTACCCCCCTTTGACCCCCTTGTCCCGCATATATTGACAGATTCCCGATCTTCCTTTAGACTTTACCATTCTCTCGTCTACACACACGTTGCGGTACGGCTGAAAAAGCTGCGAAGAGACGTCATTGATGTGCTTCAGTAGGTTCGATATCCTGTGCAGCTTGCCATGGCGGAAGGGGTCTGTCTGCTCCGGGTCCATGACACTGAGAAAGGCAAGGAACGCAAAGAAACGGCTCCTCGGCATAATCTTCGGAGGAATGAGGCCAGAAAATAATTCGAAGGTGTTCCAATACAAATTAAGGCGAGGCAACTCAACAATTCCCATGTAAATGAGCATTGCAATGCACTTCATCACTTTATCGGGACTGAAGTTCCTCCACGAGCCGTCTCTTTCCGCGGTGTCTGCCTCTAAAATATGCATCCACGCATACTTGTTCGTGTAGTCGCAGATCATGCTTATCACCTGCGTGGTGAAAAACAACTGGAAGAAATCGACCGCCCGGACGAAGCGCCATGCGTCACTCCGGAGCGCGCCGCCGACTTCAACCCCCGGGTTTCGTCTCAACAGAAACAGTACACGCTTGACAGATGCAGGCAAGGAATCGTGTCCGTAGAACGTTGAGACCCTGAAAATGAGTAAAATTGCTATGAGTACACGCTCCACCACTTGTATCCACTGATTAGTCAACAAAGTGTGCGGCACGCATACAGCAAACACTCACCTGTCGGACGTTGCGGTTTGACTTGACGCATCCTCGTCATCGGTGCTAAAATCTGATGAGTCAACATCTTCTCCAGACTCACTGCTGCTGATTACATCCTCAAGAACGACTGTTGATGAGCTGGATTCGCGAGAAACGTGTCGTCTTTTGGGAGCGTCTATGCACGATGATGATGCTATGATCGATACGCGCACGCCGCAACCGGAAACTTATCGCAGCGAGAAAAAACTTCTCCGTAGCAAAAACAAGCAAAACATTGCAGGTCCCTTCGTGTGTTTCCCACTTTCTAACCTAAATGGCGTTAGGCGCCTGTAAACTGCACAGCGGCGCGAGAATTCAAATTTGAAATGCATCGTTCAAATTGAACGATTTGAATAGGCGCGGTAGCGAAAGAGTTAATCTGGCAAGGACAGCCGAACTTGGTCAACTGAAGGGGTAAAAAAGCATGTCAGAAAAAAATTACTGAATTGTTTATAGGTGACTGCGCTAATACCTTTGCACAGATAAGTGGACTCTCGTTAAACAGAATCAGATGGGGCCAGGCTTTCGTATAACAGCAGTTTCGCTTACTGGGAGACAAACGGGATTGCAGCATTAAAGTACGAAATTAATATGTGAGAAAGTTGTTCCACTTAAGCAGCAATTCTGTTTAAGAGATTTTAGTTTACCAAAGGTCAACTGTGAGCAGTAAAATAGAATACACAGCTTACCCTTTTTTTCTGTAAGACAAAACAAATGAAAGTATAGATATAAGGAAACTAACATCTATACCGTTTTATAAAACATGCAATGCCTGACGGAATGCAAGCAGCAAACAGTTACTAGAACTTAATTTGTGACAAAAACTTAACATGCTGCATTCTGGAGCATAAGCTGAACATATAAAAAAAAGAGAAACTTGCCTGATTAGTGGGGGGTTTGGATTGTTTCGGAGGTGGTGTTGCTTCATCGGAATCAGAGTCAGACACCAAATCCGGAACCTTCAGAGCATTAAAAACAAAAGAACAGCTGTCAAAACCTCCCACTTTATAACACCAAAGAAAGGTTCTCAGTTCGGTATCTAAATACTGCAATGGATTTTAGTATTATCAGACTATCGAATGGTAGCAATCTTTTGAGGTGCTTCGTCTAGCCACAGTGCATTCAAACACGTTTTCACGTTGCACGTCTGAGGAAAACAAAATAAAAATAAAAACAACACCCTCGCAATTATGGCACAATTACCACTTTATACCAGTAATGAAGTCATTCTGTTAGTGCATTAATGATTGCATGTGTCTGGTTCAGCTTTCCACTGTGGGAATGTTCCATCCTTAATGCAATATTGCGCAAACGTGAAAACATCTTCAGGGCAAACTAACTCTCCAAATTTATTTTTCTTATTCTTCAAGAATTGTGAACAAACCCAACTTACAGCAGGTTTTGCCTTTGGCTTGCCACTTGCTGGTTGATTGCTAGAAGGAGAGAGAGAAAAAAAGAAGAAAGGCATTACATACAGGCTGGACATGGCTGGTCATCGTACCTGGAAATTAGATATTAACAGACAGCTGTGATAATGGTAAATATTAACTAGCATGCACTGGCTTCTCTACATCAGCTGTGACGCAACGTAGCTCTGCCAGCATGGCTCGGCACTTGAACAGTCCATGTGCAACATCCTGCAGATTATCTGTGGCAGATACGAAAATTAAGCAATAAATGGCTGGCAGCTTCACGTTTAGTTTTCCCATGTGCTCAGTAGCCAGAATCTGTGTCATCACGACTTTTAAAGCAGCACGGAAGCGAGGTGCGGCACAGTAACGACGTCCGGTACCAAGATCAACAATATGGCCACACGTGCATCACTCCAAAGAGTAGTGGCAGTGAAAAACGTTACGTCTTGTGCAAGCATTTCACAGTTAAGCTCATACAGTGTTAGGACGCCAAGAGTACAGTAGTACTGTACATTGCTAATTAAACGTCAATGTTTTTTTTTTTTTCATAAAATGGCCTTCTGTAATCGATCTATATTCGGAGTCTGCCTATACGCAAAGGCGTAAAGTCGACTTGAAATTAAAGTAGACTTTTCTGAGGGCTCCAACAATCATTCGTCGTTCTGGGATTCACTGCTATTAGACGCATCGATAATATCAGCCGCAGAGGCAATAGAATCGTGGGAATTGCTATCTCCCAATGGACATTTTCACGATCTGCAGCAACGGTTGCCATACTACAATATAGCTACAGTAACTAGAGGACGAAGTGTCAGCAACAGAGCGTCGGAGATACACGGTTTCAATGGTAGGCCTCACAGTTTCAATGGTAGTGCCACCGCTTTGGCAAGTCTGTCAAGCGAGATCGGCGACACCAACACTCGCCGCATATGGGTATATGACACGGCATTGCTGCTGGCGAAGAAACGCGACATGCCCTTGTCACTCGCTAACAATGCGAGGTACGTTCATCTGTCGCGAAAAACTCTATACTCTCTCGCAAGCAAGAAACATGACTTATCATTCGTAGAAGGCGTGACATGTATTTCTTGCTTTAGTGGACAGCGTGCCCCAACTACATTTGCTGACTAGGAAATTCAAAATTATACGAAGCACCATGGGCGTTCCACGGGAAAGCTGTTAGCGCCGTGTGGGCTGGCAACACTTTGCGGGGAACTAAACCACATCACCAGTCACATGCACCCCACGTATGCAACCACAATTGTCTTCACATCTTTTTGCCCGCGTACCTGTTCGCCATTTCTGCATTACCCCTCGCTTGCGAACAGTGGTGTGTGCGATTTGCAAAGCTGCTTAACCGATGCCAAGATGCCTTCGCTGCACCGGCAGAGACGCAGCGCTTTTTTTCAAGTGACAAGCAATCCTTTATCCAGAGTCAGAAAGCAACTAAAAGCAGGGAGCAAGTTCGATACGTCGGAAAAGTGCATGGAGAAATGGAGAAAAAGGACCAAGACCTTCGCGTGCACTGTGACACGCCGTTCCTTTCCAGGACAGAAGTCTGGATGATACCCTGCCATTGAATAGGCGGTTCGAGATTGACAAGAGAAGCAAAAGCCTGAGGGTTTGCTACAATGGTATTGAAATAAAAGCACGGACTGCTGCGAAATATATGTGCTTCCCGCTTACAGAGTTCAAAGTATCAAAGAATTGGGGTCACGAACATTATGAAACTGAAAAACCTGAGCCCAAGACTATGCACAACTGCATGCCAAAGATTTCCTTAAGCGTACGAAAAAAAAAACAGCGCATATCTTCGCTACACGAGTGACCTGAAGGCAAAGCATTCATTTCTGCATTTTCCATGAGCGGCATCTCAGTACCACCAGCACTCCTTCTGATGGGGTGCAGCAGCAGTTGCTCACACAATGGCAATGACCGTGACTGCTGCATCCTTCTCTCAAGCAACGAGCCGCAAGCGATGTTTCATGGTCAAATAAACGTTCCTTTGTATCACTCCCTCTTCTTAAAGACTTACTGGTGTGCTATAGCAGCAGCACGAGACTGCGTTTGGAGTCCACATTTCTTTTTTGCCTAGCAGAGGTTCCAAGTTGTGAGGGTCGACTCATAATCAAGCCTACTTATAATCGGCAATAGACGGTGATTGAAACTAGCTTTAAAAAATTTGTTGGAAAAAATTTTTCACGATGCACTCAGGCTCAACAGTACAATTTCTGATGTCTTAGCGGCTTGTTTTCTCATTTGATTAAAGGGCCAGTAAAGAACCCATGAGGTCTAAAAATTATTTAAAAAAGAAATGTGTGCTTTTTTGCTTTGTGAACACCCTGCCGCATGAATTATGCAAATACGTGCTATATTAAGGAAGTTACAGGGGTTAAGATATCGGTCTCAGCTGGTATCAAATTTTTGCGCGGCCTCACCGCCCTTCTCCCTCACAGAAAGGGTAAGACGTAGCCCATCGTCGTGACTGGTTTAGACCAATCCACGAGCTGAATGCTTCATCAAGTCGCCGATCGACGACTTTGCGTCACTGGGCATGAAATAAGAGTTGTTCAGGCATAGGAAAGGTGCACCGGAATCGTCTTTGAAGTCGACACTCTTTGAGGTGCGCAGCACTGCAACATTCAGTAAACATGATCACCCCGGTCTACCTACAAATTGCCGAGCTACTTTGCGGAGAGTACAAAAAAAGTTGAGCCTTTTGTGTGGGCCTTTAAAAAAAATTGTGAAAAATTTTCCTGTCAGTATAAAGGGTTCTGAACTACGGGCCCTGAACTACTTTTCCAAGCCCTGTCAAGGATTTTTCAAATCCATGAAGAACGAGCGAAGTTGCACAGATTTGTCGCATGCTTTTAAAAGTGCCATGCGACACTTTTTGAGCATGGTCAGAAAACACTGCCGATCTGTAGTTGAAACAACTCGAAGTAGCCATGGCATGGTTCACTAAAGAAGCTTATTGCCTAAAGAATTTTCAAAATCCAATCAGCACGAGAGCAGTTACAAGGATTTGTTGTACGCTGCATGCCATTGCATTCTCTTCTCTCGTCCCGACAAAAGCACTGGAAGCTTAGCAAAAAATGGCACAGGGAAAGAAAATACAATCAAACACCTTCATAAGAGACAATGTAAGAGTCAAATGGGTGTAAAAGACACGGGTGTGCCTAAAAATTATGGGTTGGCAAAAAAATACATATGCAGTACCCTGCTTATAAGAGACACCTATAAAGCCAGCCGCACTATAATATTTCGCTCGCGCATTCTCAGGAGCCTTGGCTACAAATCAGCAACACTTTCTGACCATGCTCAAAAAGTTTTGCATGGCCCCTTTAAGGCGTACCATTACCACAGCCACGCATAAAGTGGTAAGGATGCACTTACTCCTTGGTATCTGCTTTCCCATTTTCGGTTTTTTCACCTGAAGATGCAAGAAAAAAAAAAACTTTATTACACTAAAAAGAACTATACACAAAGAGCAAAAACTGCCCAATTTAATGAACAAGGCCAAGTATGACAACGTAGCTCGTTTAGAGCAAGCACAGAACACGCTTCCTCTAGCTGTGTGAAAGAAAATGCGCTTGAGTGCCTTGTGTACAGTAACACCTGCAAGTAACAGGAGGGCGGCTGACGGAACTAGGAATGTGAGAATATCCTCATTATTTCCAACTTTCAAATAATTTTCTATTAGAATAGGTTTTGATACACAATTCGATTTGCACCGAATTCTTACCGTTAGAAGTACCGAAAGATAAACATGGCAGTTTGATTACATTATAACAAAATGACTGCTCCTAAATGATGTGCAAAATCCCAATACTCTATCAAAAGGTCAATGACCGTTCCCACATATGGACACTAATTTAGACAAGGTAGGTCAATAACTGTGATGGGCAGCATTTGCTATACCCCGCTTTCGTGAGTTCTAAATAAAAAACACATCGGTGTGCAATGTTACAAGTAACAAGATCTAAACTACAGAATGCAGCTTTGCATACAATCAGAAAAAAAAATGCAGACACAATGTCTTCTCATAGAGGGCCATTTATTCTGTTGGCACTTTCTTCAGTGATCCAGCTTTGCCCATTCTAAAATCACTTCTGGATGTGCCTTTATTGCGTGCAGTTTCTAATGCAGTTACCTTGACAAGTTCTGTCTACATGGAGCTGCTTCACAACACTTGAAAACTTGTTGTCAAGATCTGAATATATTTTTATTTTGGGCCCACAGAAACTTTTTCTGGTCAACGTGCAGCTGAAGATTTTCCTCCTCTTTGTTTTCTGCACCACTCACGAACACAGCTATCAGGCATGTAGAATAGATGCGAAGTAGCTGTCCTCAGCCTGTAAAGTAACTCTCCCTTGACATGAGCTTTCATACCGAAATAGGTACGTCCCCATTTCCATATTGTTAGGAAAAACGTGATGCAGACAGGACGAAGTCTAGCACGAAATGGGCCACTATACTAGCTTTAAAATGCTTCCTCGCGCCACTTTGTGATGGCGATGCTGCTACACTTGCCTCTGGTGGTTGGCTGTCGCTAATGCTGTGAATGCGATTTAGAATTCATACTAAATAGACATGCTTTGCTAAACATGCTTTCCGAATATCTTGGCACCATGAAATCCACCGGCAGTATAAAATTTTTTTAGTATCACAGAAAAAATGGTTAAATATCAAGCTAACCTGATTCGTGGCAATATTCCGGGTTTTCTCACCCACATCAATACACAACAGCTAGAAGCAGTTCAGTTTTCGCTTGGTGGCTATGGCTTACCATGCAAAAGCAATTGTTTTCTTTTTGTCCATGTTTCGCACTGCATTTTATTACAAGAAAATTTTTTTGGTCAGTTTGCCAAAGCGCATGCTGGTAAGGCATCCCCAGAAGCCATGCACCAAACACACTTGACCTCTCCGAGACACCAAACCCCACTTCAGTGACTTCAGTGATTAACTCGGCTGCAGAGAGCACTCGCAGCAGCAAAGCAAGAGAGATACCCACAGCAGGTGGACTCAGGACTCGAACAGAGTGAGCCCTTGTCTGCATAATAGCTGGGCCTTCACAGAAGTCGAGAGGAGCAGAGCTTGAGGAAACAATCTTTTTCCTTTCATGTATGAAGTGTTGACACCACTTTGCACCAAATTATGCAAACAAACAATCTACCTTCTTCATTGCCAATTTTTTTTTTATATGACGATCAGGTAGCAGCAGCCCTTCAGCACTTCACTAGTCTGGCCAAAAGAAACTCTTACGCGTTTCCACCTCATGGGATTATGCTTAGAAGATTACTTCGCAACTTTTTTTTTGCAATTTCGCTTAAAGTATACAAAAAATATTCAAGACATTCTAAAAATATTCTACTTAATTTGCAATATTATTCAAGTTCACTAGGCACCAGAAATTTTCCTATCCTTGCAGCTCTAGTTACAAAACACCAAGTTTCACAAATGCAGCATTGCAATTGAAGTAAGTTTCCTTCGTGAAAAACAATGGCAATACTTTGATGTGCCGAGAAATTTTTTGTCTCGTTCTGGCATTTTTGCAAGGTTCAATTGGATTTGAAAATTGCGACTTGGCATTGGAAACGCGTGGATTTTGTAAAGTACTGTGGGCCCTTGACTTGCAGCACTCATTTTCCTCTCCACATGCAAGGCAAATGATTATTTTTTACTACAAGGCAGCCAGATGCTGTAATGCACCAGAATTAAGATGGGCAGTGTACGTAGACCAGATCTACGATGGCCCTGCCAAGCATTTGCCGTCAACACTCACCTTCTCTCAGCTTATTGAAAAGATCCTGGATCTCACGACTGAACTCGAGAGACATTAAGTTGCATCGCTTGATGTAGTAGTCTAAAACCTTCTCTGCCCGACTATTCTGCTTCGTACTTGCATAAACTTGCGCCATCTCGAAGTAGCCCTGGGTGAAAAGAAAACGGCAGTCGATTTCACGATTTCGTTTCCCGTAACCCATTCACATAAACTTAACAGTAGGCATCATTCTAGTAAAATCCAGCTGCAGCGAGTAGTTTTGGCCCTTCACAGGTTCCGCTGAAATCGACGTCGTGCTAAAATACAGGAAAGCTTGTCTGCAAAATAGCAAGCATCATGAAGGCACAGGCATTGTTCTAAATGAAGCCAGACAAAATGCAGAAACAAATCCACAACTTACCAACATGACAAGTGAAAATTTACCAGCTTTAACCAGGAGCAAAAAACACTTCTTTACTCGAGATGCTGAAAGTGTATTTTTAAAATTAGAATACTGTTTTCTCAAGAACCAAGTGAGCAGGCTTAGCGCTCCATCACGATGATCTGCATCACGCAACATACATGTTCCCAAGTTTGTTTATGAAGTATTTATGGCAATGAATTCGCTAACGAGAGCCCAAATTCATAAACTTCTACCTGCCTGCTGGCCCGTAAAGCAGAGCATGCAGGTTACTATCTCGCAGCTTGCACTCACCCTTCCTTAACAAAACTAAACAATGGTTTTTGGGCATGCGATACAACAGCAGTTACGAATTCGGCTTCGTTGGTATCGCGCCGCTGCCACCACAGTTACGAATTCGGGTTCAGTGGCATCCCACCGCTGCCACCACTGTTAGGATTTACGGTTTGTTGCTATGGTAACGGTAGCTGAGAGCGTCGAGCAGTCGAACAGACTTCGCTGAAGCCTCCACCCAGAGGTGGAATAGGGAGGCAATCGTTTTGAAAACAGCAACAGGTAGGAACGTTTACTGAGGCAGCAGGTTCTAGTTTGTACAGAGCCGGCCAGCACGACGACGTCAGCTGAAGCAAAATCCCTCTAAACATGGGGCCGGCACAGCCTTAAATAACATTTTTGTTTTTTTTTTTTTCGAGACCAGTTCCCAGTGCTTGGCAGAGAAGGCAAAGCCTTTCTCGAAACTGCACGTGGCATGCTGTGACGTGGCTCGGCGGAGGAAGCGGAGTTTTTCCCGGAACTACATGGTGGCTCGCCGCCGTCAGCGTGGAAGATGGCGCTGAAAGGAGGGAACGTTCGCCGGAACAGTGCTCGTTCTCGTGGGAAGCATTTCCTAACGAGGACCATGTCTGTGGCATATAATGCCACGCATCATCGCACACATGGGCTACGGGGTGCAGACAGCGGTAACTCAAAATTAAAAGCGAGAGCAGTGATGAAATTAAAAGCCTGTGCTACCATTCATTGTAAAACCTCATTATAAACTCTGGTTGTTTCGAAATCCTATTAAATTTGAAGGATTTCTGCAGTCTCGTATTTCACAATTAAGTTTGAGTGGCTAACTTGAAGCGGCAGTTGGCACTAGTACAATTGATTTGAAAACTTTGGATGCCATGTGTGCTAATTCCCGATCCCGATTTTGCCGCTAACTTGCAAAACGATGGCTTTAAGGGGCCACAAGGCAATGCAGTGTGCCAATACTAATCAGTGACAAGTGAAGCACTTCAGTCTCTCTTCGCCAAGCGCAAAAAAAGAAATAATATAAAAGGTGTAGTTGTGGTCGGTTCAAATATGTGCCTCCAAAAAAGAAACTCTGCTTCACTACAATACGGCAGCGACACACGAGCAGCATGTCACATCCTTTTCGCAACGTCTGTGCTTCGACCACGACTTACCCATCCTTGCTGAGAATATAAAGATATTAATAAAGATACCTGTGGCGGAATTTGATGATGATGATGTGATGTGGGGTTTAACGTCCCAAAACCACCATATAATTATGAGAGATGCCGTAGTGGAGGGCTCCAAAAATTTCGACCACCTTGAGTTTCTTCAACGTGCACCCAAATCTTAGCACACGAGCCTACAGCCTTAATCGAAAAAGCAGCTGCTGCATACGAGATTCTATCCCGTGACTTGAGCTAGACCAACGCGGCGGTGCTCTGGCAGAATATGAAATGTGTGCGAACTTCCAATTTGCGGTTGATTTAACGATTTGCACATCTACACCGTTGGCAAAGTTCTTTCTTGCAATGCCTACTTCGAAAGCTAAAGCTCGAGAAAGAAAAAAAAAAACATGTCTGCTCCCCCTACATAGAAATCTGTTTAACACGGAAGTGAAACGTGTCTTCAGAGAGGTAGTTAAGTGTTTACTGTGCATTGTTTCAGCAACGGCAACAAATTGCAGTCACGTTAAAAACTGCAAGCAGCTTGAAACTTGCAGCGCACACTTCAAGAAGAAAGCACGCATGAAATTAGCACACACAGGGCGAGCGCGCACCAACAGCTGTCACAGCTCGACACTTAAAGCACGCTGTTCAAACAAAAAAAAATAGACATACAAAACAAGCGCACAAGTATACAGAAGACAAGCACGAACAACTTCCTGCGTCGTGTGTCGGCAGTGCGCTCCTTTCGTAAATGCAGCAGCGAGCGGAGTGACCTTTGTCCTCCCCCAAATCAAATGTCTGATAAGCATGTGCACAGGAGACACCACACTCCGTGAATAGTGCTTCGTGGAGGCGACGACCATTAGAGTGCGCCCAACGCGAGCCTGTTGCATCATCTCGCGACTAATAACGAAAACTATCTGAAAAAAAGTTTAGAAGCTCTGAGGGCAGCCAAACGGTGCATGGTGTGGCTTGCCGTTAGCACTCCTGACAACATACATTGTGGCATAGTGGTTATTACTACAAATAGAGAGGTTGCTGGTTCGATTCCACTTGACAGACGCTGGCGTTCTAGTTTTAGGGGCGAAACTCCTTATGGCATGGCTCGTGTGTCCCCCATTGTCGTAGTGCGTAACCTGTGGCATGTACCCACCCTCGGGCACATATCTGCTTGTCCCCTTGTTACGAAAAACTTAGCACGGCGATGTTATAACGCTCTCGGGGTTAAAGCGCTGACAGCAGAAATGTGGTACGTACTCACGCTTAGTCCTTAGATTGTCCGCTGGATGGTGGTACTTGTATATGATAAATATATTGTAAGACGGCACCCAGGACCCTCAAGACTTTTCTTTATTGTCTCGAGTATATGCCCCACAACGCAAACTGGAGTGGTGATGATGAGTATGTACAGATGAGAAGATGGAACGCATAAACAATGCTTACTTATTTTCCCGGCGCACATGAGCAGCCGGCCCAGCCGAGACTTAAGTAGGAAAGGTACGGCGAACAAAGGGTTTAAGACGTGAAACGTGGACAATCTCGGAGGCACGGTAACGACGGTCCGAGGAACCCTCGACGGGAGTGACAAGGTAATTGACCGGAGATGTTCTTTCACAAACAACGTAAGGTCCTAGAAAGCGAGACTGAAACTTTTCACACAATCCGGGTGTGCGAACAGGCGTCCAAAGTAGTACTTCATCTCCAGGACGGAAGGTGACGTCTCGACGAAAGCTGTCATAGCGTTGCTTGCGGTCTTCTTGACTGGCCTCCGTGTTGAGTTGAGCACGTTGCCGTGCCTCAGCGAGCCTTGAGACGAAATGTTCTGTCGTAGTCGTCGACGTTTTTGTCATTGCATTGAAGAAAGAGGCGTCGATGGTGAATGTCGGCGCACAATCGTAGACGAGGAAGAAAGGTGAATACCCGGTGGTTCGTTGAACAGCGGTGTTGTGTGCGAATGTTACGAATGGCAAGATTTTGTCCCAATTATCGTGGTTCGGTCCGATGTACATGGATATCATGTCGATTAGAGTCCGGTGGAATCGCTCTGTCAGCCCATTTGTCTGCGGGTGGTAAGCGGATGTGGTCTTATGAAGTGTGCCACAAGTTTTTAGAATTTCGTCAACAATTGTCGACATGAAGGCCTTGCCCCGGTCACTCAACAACGTGCGAGGTGCGCCATGACGCAACACAATGGCTTCTAAAAGAAGGCGGCAACGTCTGAGGCGGAGCTAGTGCGTAGAGGAGCGGTCTCCGCGTATCGTGTGAGGTGGTCGACGGCTGTGACGATCCAGCGGTGGCCCGCTGGCGTTACGGGAAGTGGCCCGACGAGGTCTATTCCGACAACGGCAAAAGGTGTGTCGGGACATGGAATAGGTTGTAATAAGCCAGCAGGAGCTGAAGTTGGTCGTTTCCGGCGTTGACAAAGTGCGCAAGAAGCGACATAATTAGCCACAAAAGTAGAAAGACCAGGCCAGAAGAAACGGCTCCTAACGCGGTTGTAGGTCTTTGAAATCCCAAGTGTCCAGCTGATGGGTCGTCGTGCAATGCTTCGAGAACTTGTTTTCGCAGCGAACGGGGAAGTACTGGCACCCACCGATGCCCATCCGCATTGTAAGTATAGTGTTGCAGGACATTGTTCTCTAGCTTGAACAGCCGTAGCTGACGACGTAGTCTGGCATTAGGGGGAGAAGGCGAGCCATTCAAGTATCCGATGATGCGGTTACAGTAGGGGTCGTCACGTTGGTACGCGGCAAACTGGGCGCTGTTGTTTAAAGGTAGCAACCCAGCAACTGCCAGGGGTGATACGTGAGTGAACAGGAAGCCACTTGATCACCTGAGGGGCATTCGGGATGCGTGGTTGGAGATGAAAGTGGCAGAGGGCAGCGAGAGAGAGCGTCAGCATCCTGATGCTGTTTGCCGGACCTGTACACAACGTCAAAAGTGTACTCTTGCAAACGCAGTATCCAGCGACCGAGGCGCCCAGACAAATTCTTCAGCGAGGACAACCAGCATAGGGCATGGTGGTCGGTAACCACAGTAAAGTGGCGTCCATACAGATAAGGTCGAAATTTCTGGATGGCCCAAACGACAGCGAGACATTCCTGCTCTGTTATCGAGTAGTTTTGCTCTGCAGGTGTTAGTGCGCGGCTGGCATACGCAACTACTCTCTCACGTGAAGTGTCGTCGCGCTGGAGGAGGACAGCACCGATTCCGTGGCCGCTGGCATCTGTGTGCAGGAAAGTGGGTGCACTCTCATCGAAGTGACGGAGGACGGGGTCTGATGTCAAAGCACGCTTAAGGGCTTGG